GTCGGATGCAGGATTCCAGTCGGAGTTCAACGAGCGAACGGATGATATCCCGGAATATAGTGTCATCATATATATATATATATATATATATATATTATATATATATATATATATATATATATATATAATATATATATATATATATATATATATATATATATATATATATATATATATATATATATATATATATATATATATATATATATATATATATATATATATATATATATATATTGTCTTCAAGTTTCTGAAACTTGAAGACAATTCTAAGAGTCCGCTACCGCTGGAGAAGGTGACAATTGGACCAATCGAAAAATAAAAAATGGAGATTCAACTAAGTAAAGACAAACCAAAAGACCAAAAGAAAATATTTAAGATTTGACATCAGGAACAATTATTAAACACTGGTGGTGGTGGTGCAATTATTTGTTTTACATGCAATAAACCTGGACGTATATCCAACAGGTGTACAGAGACCGTTTCCAAATCTCCAAGAAGATATCCGAAATTCGCCGATTACGAAAAACAGTTCTACAAAAATTATTGTCTCCGAGACTGTAGAATATACCGAATAACTGTGCGAGGATTATTATGGGTAGTGCCCAGAAGAATCAGACAACGTGTAGTAAAAGCAGCACATGATGATTTGGGACAGTTTGGACTGGAGCGTACACGAAATAATTTGTTAAAATATTACTGGTTCCCTCGTATGCGAAAGTATCTCGAACGATATATCTTGTGTTGTATACCGTTTTTGTACAACATGCGGAATTCTGAAAAAAAGGAACAATCCTTAGTTACTTTCCACGTGGACCACCTGGGTCCTTTATCCTAAATCAAACTGAAGTAACTAATAGTTTACTTTATTTTAGAAAAAATTTGTTTTTCTTAAAGCCGCTAAGAGTTCAAAGTCAAAGTATATAATGGAATAATTTAAGGATATCTTTGCAACTTATGGTGTGCCAAAAGTGATTATATCAGATCCAGTCAGCTCCTTTACTTCAAAGTCCTTCCATGATTTCTGTGTTCGACAACATTCGACACATAACCAATGCCTTTGCCACACCCAGAGCTAAAGGCCAAGTTGAAAGATTAAATAACACTATTTTAGCAGTTTCACTCACATCTACGCCAGAAGAGGATCTTTGGGACCAAAATGTTTGGAATGTTCAGTTTGCAATCCATAACGTTATCAAGAAATGAACTGGTAAAACACCCAGCCAATTTGAATTTAAAAAAGGGGTAATGCTTTGGACGTTTTGTTAAAAAATGAAGTAAAAGACTTCACAACTTTACTGCTGGATCTGGCATTGTCCAGGCAAGAAACGACTGAAAAGGCGAGACAGGCGCAAACGAAACAAAAAAAACAATTCATTCATTCGATCAAAAGCGAAAAAAAAAAACGCTTATTTACAAAGTAGGAGACTTGGTTGACAGTCGTAAGCTAGCACCTCATTACAACGGTCTATGGTAGTCAAGACGGTTCTTCCAAATGATCGATATATAGTAAGAGACATGAAGGATTCTCATAGAACGCTCCGGTCGTCTTACGAAAGGACGATTGCTTTGGACAGACAGCGAAAGTGGCGAGGATGGAGATGGAGATAGTTGCAGGATGGTCGAATGTAAGACGAATATTTTTTTTTAGGTTCCCTATAAAATTTTTGTACATACTACGCAATAAGCAACCACTTGTGAGCCAGATGTTTTCTTAAAACCGCATTCCTTGCCCCTCGCTCTGTCAAAATATCGATTAGTAGAAGGGCGTCATTTATAATAAACATAGTTTTACATTTTACGAAGTATCTTTCCGGCATTTCTCGGTTAACCGTCCATTCAAGTGTTGAGGGCTATTGTTTGCATTCCGTGAAATTGCGACGACTTAAAGGTGAGTGTTCCCACGAGTACAGTAGTTCAATTTCATGATGGTTTTGATTTATTGGCCAAAATACCAAAGTATCAAATGATCTATTGATCGGTTTCATTTTAAATTTATAAAATATACCCAAGAAATTTAGTTAAATCTTAGTGTGTTCTCTCCGAACTATTTTAAACGTTGTTACTATGTTGGTTGAAAGTGGGGGCTACCGTCTCGTGTATCTGCTCTTAGTACCAATATACTGATGTGTGTTCTGCCCTGCAGTATATTATGACCTGTTGTTGCCTTTCAGTGCCGGTATGGTTATTTACGACAGGATACTTCGCGTGTCTCTGCCCTCAGTATCCATTGCACGATCGGAATAATCAGCACTAGTAATTGAAATAGCTACTTTATGTGTTCTGCCCTTAGTACCAATAGTATATTACAACCTGTTGTTTATTGCATTGTCGCGTGCTGCTGCCCTTCAGTGCCGGTGTTGTTATTTGCGACAGAATACTTCGCATATCTCTGCCCTTAGTATCCATTGCACGACCGGAACAATCATCACTAGTGATTGAAATAGGTACTATGTGTGTTCTGCCCTTAGTACCAACCTATCTGTTATCTGTGTTTTCTGGTGGTATTAAGTAACAATAAGTTTGTTTCATGAATATTAATAATCTTTGGTATTCAGGTTTTTTTGTTTGTTTCAGATGAGAACCGTGTCACCTCGCTGACGGACTGATCACCGTGCATTTAGACCCAAATACTTAATAATTATTCATTAAAAATAAATAAATATATGTATTATACGTATTCAAATTAACAATGATCCCAGTTATCAGAAATGAGATCTTTTGCTTTAAACAAATGTTCACTACTCCAGTTATAAACAGGTCAGGAAATTGAGAGAAAGTGCAAAATTTGTAAAAATTTCAAATGTAAATATCTGATAAAATGTAGTTTAGTGGTGCGTTATGCCTTTTATAAGTTAAATGAGTTCTTGACTGAGTTAATAGTTTATAATCATAATTTTTGTTTTATCTTAAGTATGCTTTTTTTTTGTTTCCAATTATGATAATATGCGACCGTTGCATTTGCAAGTTTAAATGGATATTTATTAGATTTGCATGAATTAGAGAAAAACACAGTTTGAAAAACAGAGTAAAAGTGGGTTAACCCACTTTAAGGTATGAGTATGTCAGCATGCATATCACCCTGCCCCAATAATAATAATAATTTCTCCTAAAATAAAATAGATTGAAGCCAAACGGTTTGAAAATAAATATTTAAAGGTTTTGTGATGCGTTACATTTATCGTAGCAAACTTTATCGACCAATTTGAATGTCGACGCATCTAGTTGCGCCACGGATGCGGGATTTACTTTAATTGTCTTATAACTCACCTCTCGATCGCCGGTCAAGTCGATTTTGTTGCCTACCACAACTATGGGGACGTTCGTGGAGCACTTAGTTTCGTGAATTTGGTCCCGTAGCGAGCGCGCTTCCTCAAATGTAGTGGCGTCGGTGACGTCATAGACCAAGACGAATGCGTCAGCCGAAGATATGGATAGGGCTCGCATGGCAGGAAACTCGAACGAACCGGATGTATCCAATATATCCAACGTTAAGTGCACCTGCGCAACATAATTAGTGTAGTCTGTATATCGATAATTGTTATTTTTTTTGTTATAAAAAATGGGCTAAAATGTATCAAAAATCCTATACGCTAAGGTATTTTTGTCATTACTTAGACCAAGCTTCTCTGGATTCACTTGTTCTTTTAAAATATAATATAATTATATATGCAGGATGTTTGAATTTTCGTGGAGAGGCAACAAATTTCAACCAATTTTCTAGGTACATTATATATTTAACATCCTTCAGTCTTACCGTATTCTACTCGGAAAGCCATTGTTATATATTTTCGGTTGATTTCCTTATGAAACGGCTAGGTTAACATTAGTAGACTAGTTCATATTCTAAAAATATATATATGCAGAACGATCTAAAAGTCATCTTAAAAATTTAATTGAAACGTTATTTTTTCAAATGGAAACACTCCATTTTTATTAAAGGGTGACTTCTATATATTAACTATAAAATGTATTTATATTGTACAAATGCTATACCGATATTAATTGGGGAAGAAAATATCAGCAAAACATGACAGAAAGAAAAATAATTGAGGACTACAGAATTGCTACCTACTCCCTAATAAAATTTGCGTTGTCTGGGTTAAAATTATTTTTTTGAACCACTGTCGACCCAATGATTGCCGGTGTAAGTAATCCCCCTCTTAGTACCCAACAGCTTCTGCTGGAGGAGCTGTAAAGAAATCGAGATGAAAGGCAGATGAACCAATACGGTCAACGGCAGGCTGATGCAGAAGGCAAGGGGAGATCACTTCCATTAAAGATTATACTGATTTTTCTAAGTACAAATCATCATGGTTAAAAACAATAAACAAACGGCCCTCAGTCCCCGGCAGATCTTAAATGATCAGATGGTGCGAAGAATCCCAGGGTCAGCTATGAAAATTGATACATGGAATGTAAGAAGCTTGTATGAACCTGGAAAAATACACAATGTTATCCAGGAGATGAAAATATTGGAGACAAGCATCCCAGGAATCAGTGACACAAGATGGCTGAGCTCTAGATAACATCCAACAACTAATTATTACTCAGGAAGGAATGACAGCTAACATAGATATAAGTTGCAATTGCGGTATCCCATGAAATTAATAAGTTTGTAACAAACTTTACCCCTATATCAGACCGTAACATGCTGCTTCAGCTTCAAACGTATCATTGCAAACTAAACATATTCCAAACGTATGTGCCTACGGCAGACAAATCTGATGAAGAAATTGAGCAATATTACAATGTATTTAATAATATTATAGAATTTGCGGGAGAATATGGGCTTGGAGAGAGAAATGAAAGAGGAGAGCGACTGTTGCGAGTTTGCCAAGGGAATGGTTTTATAATATCGAATATGTTTTTTAAATTTCCAAGTCATCGGCTGTACACCTGGAAATCTCCACAAGACAACAAACAAAATATCGTTAGAAACCATATTGATTATATCTTGGTAACAAGGGGAACAAACTTGTCATCAGATCATTATCTCCAACAAAGACTAATGTCAACAACAGAGTATATAGACATAGTATATAGACATCTCCATCCTAAAAGACTCTGAAACAAGTCAAAAACTACAAAATAAAATCAATGACAATCTCGAAACCTTTAAAAACAACCAAATAAGACTAACAGAGGAACAAAAGGAAGATTTTGAAAAGGCACTAGTTGGACCAGGCAAGAAAATTTTAACAAAAAAGAAAGCAGAGAAAAAACAGGACTGCAGAGATTATGAAGGTAATGAAGAAACGTCGTCGAACAAAAGACAACAAAGACGCGTATAAAAATATTCAGAAAGAAATCCGATCAAAGGAAAGAAAAGGAAGAGCAACACGACAATTTCAATGTTCACAAAAAAGTAAAAGAAATGGCAGGATTATAAAAAAAGAGAAAACCGACAATACTAACTAACCAAAATGGCAGAATTACACATAATGGAACTTATCAATGATGATAGAGATATTAACAAAATAGAAATAGAACAAGATAACAATAGACTAGAAATAACTAAAGAAGAGGTCATCCATGCTATAAAGACCATAAAAAATGGTAAAGCTGCAGGGCCGGATGTGTTACCCTCTGAAATTATTAAGATGATAAGAGAGGAAAACATACATAATCCAACAGATCTATATAACCCCATATATAAAAGAATGGTTCATACTAATGTTCATCCCTAATCCAAAAAATATAAGACAATGTAATGAAACATAACAGGATATAAAAAAAATTAGAACAAAATATAACTCAATTCGGCTTTTGCGATGCTTAGGAATAAAAGAAGCACTCTTTCCCTGAACGTTATTGCCTAACGGTGCATGGATATGAATCAAGAACTCTGTGTCTGCTTTATTGATTACAACAAAGCTTTCGACAAGGTCCGACACGATCAACTGATAACAATTCTTAAAGAAAAGAATTTGCACACCAGATATATAAAAATCATCACACATCTTTATTTCAAAGAGAGAGTTAAAGTGGAAGGAAGTAGCTCAGAAGAAATAGAAATCCACAGAAGTGGTGAGACAGGAGTGCGTGCTATATTCGATGCTGTTTAACCTTTACTCAGAGGAAATAATGAAACGAGCATTAGAAGATGAGACGAAGGTTATTGTAATTAACGGAGTCCCAATCAACAACATAAGATACGCAGATGATATTCTCCTGTTGGTTGACAATGTATGGAGCGAGGATTTCGGATTGTTCTTAAATTTAAAGAAGACAAAATTCATGATAATATCCAAAACACCACAAAAAAAACACCAAATTCTTGTAAACAATCAATACACAGAAAAAGTTGACAGTTATAAATACCTAAGCACAATTTTAAATCAATCCATCAAAACCAGAATAGGACTGGCGAGAACAACGTCTACGAAAATGAAAAGACTGTTTTCTTGTAGCGACCTCAGCTTGGATTTAAAAATAAGGATGGTGAGGTGCTATGTGTTCTCGGTGCTGTATTATGGTGCGGATGCACGGACTTTGAAGAAATTCCGCCGAATGCTCAAAGTAAAATGGAGCGATAAAGTGACGAACTGGGAAATCATGTGTAGAATAAAAAAAGAGGAAGAAGTTATTATCGCAATAAAAGAAGGCAAATTGCAAAACCTAGGACATGTCATAACGGGAGAGAAATACCTACTACAACTGTTACTGCAAGGGAAACTTCATGGAAAAAAGAGTGCAGGAAGAACACGCGGAAGGGAGGAAGGAAGGAAGAGTGGATGAGAAATCTACGTGACTGGTTCGGGTGCAATACAAATCAGCTATTCCGGTCGGCAGTGTCACGAATACGCCTAGCCTTGATTTCCAACCTTCGCTACAAAGACGGCACTTGAAGAAGATGAAGAAACCACTGACAAATACGCAAACCAGATATCTGTCAATAGTCGTCAACGTCTTTCAACAACATATTAAGTTTAAAACACAATTCGGTAAGAATTTTCGCAATAGAAAATATTTCTATTTTATTTTCTAGTAATGAATTTGGAATAAATCATATCAAGTAAATTTTGATTTGATTGATTTGAAATAATGATTCAACGTCAAATGCCAAGAAAAGGACAATTTCAAGCAAACGAAATTTTGTACTTCAAAGAAATCTGATTTTTATAGCTAATGAATATGTCAATCAAACAAAATAAAATTAATAATATTTGAAAATGTTTTGCGGAATGTGTTAATTTCGGAAAAAACGATGGCCATAAAATATAGCAATCAACGGAGGATAGTCATTTTAATTTAAAAGCCGAAATGAGAAATTCCATGCTACTTTCGGGAACTTTTTACTTCGTTTTTCTTTGGAGAATTCCCGACCCTAGGGAGGGTAGGCATCGACGCGCGAAGACCCCTTCCTGCCACCACAATACAAAGCGAAAAGCGGAATTGTGAGCGTAGGTACAATGGCAATTGTTGCTGGGGAAAAAAATCTTTTCGAATCGGGAAGTGCGGGTTTTTTATTTATTTGCGCCCACAGGACTCGTTTAAACTGAATTGCTGTCATGAGCGTTGTTTGTGTAGGAATGACAACATGATCGATGGATTTGTTTTACGACAGCTCCACTAAGTGTTTTGACAAAAGTGGAAACTGTGCTCCGGTGCGGCTGCAACACAAACTTTAATAAAATATAATGCGAAGTTTCCGAGAATTTATATTTCTGAAAAAACTACAGATATTTGAATGGATTGTTAAAAACGACTGCTACGTCCCCTAACGTATAACGTTTAAGCTTGAAAATGTTTTCGGGCCACTTTTCTCCACAAATATTGTTTGGGAAAGCCTAAAACCTGAACGCCGTAACTTAAACACTGTTCTTCTTCTTATTAGTGGCAGTAAATAAAACGTGGCAATATTTCATGACCTCAATCTCCTGGTAGGCCTTCTCAATTTCCCTGAAGGATCGATGATATTTCCATTTCGTTGTTTTATTCGCTTCTGTAGAGCCTCAGCAAGGAGATTGAAGTCGATATCAAAAAAATGTTGAAAAGTGGTACTTCGTACGCTCATTCGTAAGTCATTTCAAAGTTCAATCAATAAGACCTGGCGGGTGTGAATTTCAATTTGGTTGTCGCACTTTTTTGCCAAGTAACTTGTGAAAATTTGCCCAAATTCCATTAAATTTTTAAAGGAGAACGAGTTTATTATATGAAGATCAAGAGAAAATGGAGCAAAGTGCAGGTTAGTCCTTGATTGAATTATATGTGGAAGACGCAGTTTAGAAGTTTTACTTTGAGCTAGTCGTGACTTTTGAAGGTTTGGACTTTACCTGACGTATTTTAGCCAGTGCAGAAATGAAATAATTACAAAAGATCAAAAGGATAAGCGGTACCAAATACTCACCCCAGCAACATTGAAATCCCCGTGATGCATTTCTTCTACCGTCCGCTTGTATTTTGGCGAGAAGGACCCGTAGAGGAATTGCGAAATAATTGAGGACTTCCCCACTTTAGCGGCTCCCATCACCACTATTTTGTGACGTACGTTGCCCGCGGCCGGCGCCACGACTTCTTTTTCCAGCGATTCGACGTCCTCGCTCTTTTGCGACCTGAGAACTCTTCAATGTGAAAGCATAGAAATTATTGGAGCCCAATCATGTGTTACGTTTGATTGTTGAGGAACTCTTCGTACTTAATAAAACGCAACTTGACGTTGCCACTGGAAACTTTTAAGTTTGGTTAAGATTTTAGTAATATGTTTAATTAAATTAATTGACATAACATAATGAAGATAATGTACCATAAACATTGTGATGTGGTTTTTAGTTTACATCTGATATAAACTGTATCTTTTAGTGCCAAGTTGTAGTTAGCAGCTATAAATTGTGCGAGCACAATTTTGATGTCAAATATGGAGCAAACGTTTGTTATCTGATGTATTCCAAACATTATTTCGGGATGTTCTCAAGAGGGTTTGTCAACAAGAGACGGAGAGGAGTGTTACCAGTCTGAGAACTTAAAGAATATTTTCTCTTTGAAATTTGAATATACATATCATCAAACATAGGAGCTATTATATATTCCATAAATCATTAGTTGGAGCTCAAGGATGGTACAGAGAGCAAAAGCAAACCAAACTTACCAGTACAAGTGGGGACTAACAAGATATATGAATTTCAAGAGGTAAATGACTATATATATTTGGGAGTCCTAATAACCAACAAATGTGAAGTGAATCTATGAATAGCAAAATGTAACAATTGTCTGTGGGGGCTCCGCAACATTCTAATGTCAAACGAGATCTCGAGGGCAACAAAAATCAGACTCTATAAGACAGTGGTCCGACCAACTTTAACTTACTTTTGTGAGACGTGGGCCCTCAATAAAAAAAAAACAACAGAGACTAGATAAACAGGAAAAGAAAGTATTAAGACAAATCTTTGGCGGGAAGAATACAGCACTGGGAGAGAAGGATGAATAGTGAACTCTACGAACTATTTGGAGACTGGCTAGGGCACCTCACCAGGAAGGAAAATAATAGAGAAGTAAAAGAAGTGGCATGGAAAAAACCAGAGGGGAAGAGGAAGCGTGGTAGATCAAGGAGAAGATGGAGAGAAGCCGTAGAGGAATATCTAAATATATATAAATAATAAATAATATCTGATATATATGTCAATCATTACTACTTAAAATTAAAAGAAATGCTTTTTAATTTAATTTTAGTTGATCAAAACTTTTACCATTTACAGTTAACATTGGAGAGTAAGAATTTCTGTAATTCATGTAATTCAGGTTGTTATTTTAGTTAAAAAAACTGTCAACTTTCGTTAAATCAGAGAAGTTTTGTTAAAAAAAGTTATTTTTTAAGTAATACTTAAACTTAAACTTAAACAAAAACAAAAAATTCCATAACTATCAAGAATAGTAGGTACTAATAACTAACTTTTTAGAAAAATTTCCCAAAGTTTGTAAATTATAAAGTGTAATGTTTTCTGGAAGTTCAATATTGTACAAACGCGTCAGGGCTAGATCATCAAAACTTGAATCCTAAACATCAAAGGTGCCGCCCTTGTTTGTCTCTTCCCTGTGTAAGCTTTTCTCTGGTTAAAGTTTGGGTTTGCTACACTTATGTTTTCGGCAACTAAAAAGAGGTGTCAGAGCACCTATATTTCACAGCATCGCAAATTCGAGTAAAATGGTACCGGTCTCACAACCGATTGCTTTAACTAATTCAGCAACAAACTGTTCTATTTAAAGGTTAAAATAAACTCGGCTCTGTATTTCGTAAGTTCAGTGGAACTGTTTGTATAATCAGCGAGCGTGTTTAGGCTTGTTTGAACCGAACGTAATTCAGGTAATTAAAAAGTTAAATAAGGTTACGTTTCAGTCTGGAGTTATTTGAAGAGAAACGGGCGTAAACTTGCACGGAATATGTTTAGAGAAATTCGATTCGTTACGCTGCATCAGCCGAGTAACAGAATTGACGAAGTGTCTTAAATGTCGAAATGACAAAGTCTACAAAAATGTGCTTGACTCTAATCGTAACCCTAGAATCTCGCGGGTCTAACAAGCTGCATTATGAACAATATCACCATTTAGGCTGGTTGCTTTTAGGCCTTTAACTCTTGCAAAATAGGATATGTCGGCCATAGCAAATTAAGCGATATTGAACTCGGGCGTCCCCAGTTATATAGACAAGTGAGCCTTTTAAGTTTTACGAAAAAAGAATGGAATATTATTTTCAGTTGGACCAAAAATATGCTCAAGTCTGCTGACTGACAAAGATTTTATTTGTTATTAAAACCACTTCTTTAAAGCTTCGATCTCTGCTCTTCCTATTATACTAGTAATAAATATAAAGACTGCATCAAAAGATCCCATTCCATATTCAGTCCTTCGTTTTATGTAGGTACGGGAAAAAGCATTCAGAAAGATAAACACAAACTTTAAGTTAAGGTTGAAATAGATGGTATGGAATATTGCGAAAGGTGTTTACTTTGTTACACTTCTAAATTTATATCTATATTGCCTCCATTAACTGGGAATATCTGAAAACATCACTACTCTGACTTCGCAGGGGGGTTTCGAATTTTAATGTGAAAATATCTACATTAAAGTATCCAGCAAATACGAATGGATGGGGAGAGACGTTTTTTTAATATCTCATTTAGAAAGATATGACGTTGTACATAATCTAACTATCAAAAACAAAAGCTGTTCCCTTAGCAAATTAGAAATGAATGAAAGAGATTGACGAGTCACATTGAATTGTTCATCTAACCTACAGCCCTCTAAACGGGAAATAATAATTCGGGTTGATGGCACATAACAATTAATACGCAGTTGCAGGGCATTCTGAAACCAATTATGCCTTAATGGCACTCTTAATTTGTCGCCGTAATTACACCCAAACAATGCCGCCTCGGTCTTTTGGTGCGCATAAAAAATATGCCACTCTTTAGCTAGGAAAATCAGTCTACTCTCCATCACAGTTAAAAGAGAGATAAATAAAAGTGTAGATAATTTCCGCTTTCTAGCGTTTGAAAATAACGGACAAACGCCTAATTTCAATGGCAACAAACATGATCAAATTGACCGTTTATTTGTATATTCTCTGCAAATAGTACATTCACGTAATTACCTTGCCAGCATGCTAACGGAATTGTAGAAATTCCACGTTTCAGGGCAAAGTTTAGTTCACGCTTAAAGGGGATGTTTAATTAAATCCATTTAATCTCGAGACCTATCTTGTTACATTTCACATAAACATATATATTTTTTTAATTTTACGCAAGGTCTGTGTATATTTTGAATTACGGGTTCAAACAACTAGGTATTAATTTTTTTACGCAATGAATATCTAAATTTGAAATCAATCAAAAGTTTCCGCCAAGACTGGGTCAGAACCGGTACAACTATACTACTACCAACTAACCAAAACTATACTACAGATTTTCTTTCCTGAAATTTGATAAAACCTATCAACAAATAAAAAGTTGTCATAGCGAATTTTGACATAAAAATGTGCAAGAGCGGAAAATGGATTTGTAGTCGCTACGGAAGTGCAGTTAAGCCATGACCTCGCCTTCCGTTCAGACGGTTTTAAACTCGATTTAAACGGAAAATTATTTCCGGTAGAAGTTTCAGTAGTTTTAGCCACAACGTGCGGGTAACTGGGCGATTGATAATTACACCCTGAGCAAAACTTCTCCTGCTTATCGATGCCAGGCATTATTGCTTGCATGCATCGGACTCGTTTTGTCAAACTTCTTGAACAAAATCCTTAAAAATCGTATTTTTGGGTTTCACGGAAAAAACTTCAAAAAGGGAGAACTCATAATTATAAGGAAAAAATAGTGGCCCCGTTATTACTTCTATATATGTATTTATCTGAGCAAGAACAAAAGCAAAACGAACCCATAACTAAGGAAGAATTAGAAATTCTTAAAAGCGGTAAGGTGTCAGGAGCAGATGGAATTACAACTGAAATGGTAGACAGCATTAAGAACTTTGACAGAATTGCAAGCAACGTTGCGTAAAAGCATGCAGGACGACGTATTTACAATAAACGTAGTCGCTGAGGATTTTGAGGCTATTGCCAAATATCTCAGTACAAAATGCAGAGGTTGTTTTTGCGTTTTGGTACGAATGAGGTTTTACTATAAATGATAAAACTTTGCTGTCCAATGATACTGCAATTCTTACTTAAATTATTGAAATATGTGTGGAAAATATTGTATTTAAGCCTAACACTATCGCAGATCTTCAGCCGATTACTCTGTTACCAGTGCTTTATAAAGTCTTTGAAAAAGTGACCTACAAGCAAATCCTTGACTACCTTACAAATCACAACGTTTTGCATTAATTGCAGTCAGGATTTTGCAAAAGATTTGAATCACAGATATCAACGAGTTTCGGTTGACAATATTGGATCAAATGTCTTAGAAATACAAATTTCTTTTTGCTTGGTGCAGCTGAAGCAGGAAAGGAAACGGATGCCTGAAAGCGATCTTTAAATAATCCGAATAAGTCTGCCTGGGCCAACTAAGTACTGGACTGCTCAAAACTTGCATATATTTATAAGTGGTTTTAAATTTCAGATGTTAAAGAATATGAAAATTTGGGTTAACTCTTCTTCTAAACTTAGTTTCCGTAAGCAAATTTCCAAAGTTCTCCAAAAGGAACATATTATTTTCCGCAACATCTATACAAGTAAAGCTATTCTGAACTCAAAGTTAAAAGAAACTGCTAAGTACTAGTTCAGAGTCAACTGAATTATTGAAATTTTGTATATGGAGCCTGCTTGGAAGTTTTGACTGAATATAAATTACAAAAAGTAAAATAAGAAGTCGAAAAACAAGACAGAATAATCAAAAACCAAATGTTTTATAGTTAGTATCAAAGCACAAGCATCTACAACTCGGCAACGAATAAGACGGAGCCCAATTTGACACGTATTAACGAATAAATTAAAATGACAGAGCAAAGAACCGTCATATATTGGGTGTTGTTGATTACAGGCCAAGTTATACTGAGAATATAGTTTGGGTAGCATAGGCAATGGATTTCAAATGGGAAAAAGCAGCATAGCGTTTCCGAGAATCGTATAGCAGTCCCAGAGTCGGTTCGGTCCCAAACCCCGTGTGCGTCATGCAGATAGATAATATCATACATAAAAATAAACATATCAAAAGGATTACTCATACAAAGATTAGAATAACATGTTTTGAATTTGTTTGTAAAATTAGTAATAAAAGTTGAATATTATAGAATAGTGTTTAATGAGGTAATAACGAATGAAATGAGCAAGTCCGCCGCAATGTTCTCAAATATGATTTTTTTTTATTTTATGTTCGATTGATTAAACGAGGTTGGTTCTATGCTAGTGCAAAAATTGTAATTTTAATAATAATAATAAAAAAATTGGGTTTGAGTATAAGTTTGATAATATATTATATAAATATAGATATATATGTATATATATATATATATATATATATATATATATATATATATATATATATATATATATATATATATATATATATATATATATATATATATATATATATATATATATATATATATATATATATATATATATATATATATATATATATATATATATATATATATATATATATATATATATATATAATTACAATTTTTGCACTAGCATAGAACCAACCTCGTTTAATCAATCGATCATAAAATAAAAAAAAATCATATTTGAGAACATTACGTCTGCAGGATTCCAGTCGGATGCAGGATTCCAGTCGGAGTTCAACAAGCGAACGGATGATATCCCGGAATATAGTGTCATCACATTTTTCCATCCGTGAATCAATAAGTGAAAAAAAAAATATATATATATATATATATATATATATATATATATATATATATATATATATATATATATATATATATATATATATATATATATATATATATATATATATATATATATATATATATATATATATATATATATATATATATATATATATATATATATATATATATATATATATATATATATATATATATATATATATATATATATATATATATATATATATATATATATATATATATATATATATATATATATATATATATATATATATATATATATATATATATATATATATATATTCATCAAGAAAGAAGCGGAACAGAACAATGGCGAATTTAATAATTCTACTCGGGCAAGTAGTAAAATTCTCGCGATTATATATATACAAAAGGTTTTTAGGGTTTACTCAGACACATTGTTCATAATGATTTTTTTTTTTCAAAAACATTCAGCCAACTTTAATTATTACAATTTATAAAATTAATCGTCAGAACAAGCATTTGCCAAGTTAGGTAGATTAATGAAAGATTTAGAATTTTAAAATGCCAAGGGTGATTGTAAAGGTATAATGTTGAAGCGGGCGGACATTAATAATCGACGATACAGATATTTAAGATCGAACAAGAAGTATTGCCAAGAAAATTGTAATATTATCGAGTTAGGTGGAGGGTTGGGTCAATGTGCATTATACGCTTGGTATGACAACAGATCTGAAAGCACCTACAAAAAGAATCCCACATTTCGCTCTGTTTCAAATATAAATACAAAATTGAAGAAATAGCTGCGAAATACGAGATGGTAGGGAATCAAGTCAAGACATATGTGGCAATGAAAAACTTCGATTTCAATACAGAAAATGTTCGTTGATAGATGAATTATTTCAACATGTTACTGAACAAAATTGGAGTAATTATGTTCAACATGTCATTGAAAATACCGAGGAGGAAATATGGTCGGCTGACGATCTCCAAGAAAATGTGGATGAACTTATCACTAGCGTAAATTCTGGCGGCACTTCTGTTGTACATAGATGTACATAGCAATTAGGTAAAGTAAAAATGTTGAGACAAAAATTTTTAGTTCAGGGACGAAATTTGTTGGAGACCGTCGATACTACGGCTGGCAACGTTTGAAATCAATTACTGTCAGAGAGCCGAATGAACATGAATAAAAGTAAAAATGAGGTTTTGACAGCTTCTTGGGACACGGGAAGAGTGGAAATCAATGGAAAAAGAACAGTGTTTGCGAATTATAAATATCTTGAGTACCTTTTTAGAAAAAAACTTCACCAGGGGCATCCGTCCGGAAAAAATGATACGCCACTGGCGCTTTTTCAAGTAAAAATTTTCTTTTGTGACGTTACCTAGAAGCCGAATGGTTCCTCGTATCATCTTCGGATTCCTCTTTCAGAAACGAAGGCTGCAAGCTGAACCGCCTGCGAAACTGGTGTCTACCCTTCATCAATCCTCTGTGAGGATGCGTCTGCCTCGACTCCAGAATTTACTGTAACAAAACCGGTAATTAGTTTTAAATATATCGTTTCCGACGCGGTTAGAGGCACTTATTAATTGCACCAGAAAGACCACTCGTATATTTCTAGTCTGGTGGTTGCCCCGCGGATGAAATTAATTTTCCGGGTCAAAAGAATCAGGATCGGGAAAAATTAAATTCTGATTTGTATGCGGGAAAATAACGAGATTCATCATGGAAAGTAAAGATTTACCAAATCTGCTTTCTCGAATAGTGTTTTTGCTCTGAGATTTAAATGTAACATGGCCGCAATTACATACAAATTTTCGAGTATATTTTTACAGGCTATCTGCAGAGTAGATCATAAGAGAAACAAAAAAGCGCACATGCGAAACTTTCATGACGTGCAAAAAAATTGGAAAATATCAAACTTCGACAGGTTGGTGTATTTCTTTTTAATGGGACGTTGCGTATGTAATTTGACGTTCTTTTAAGCTTGAATTTAACTATTTAAAATTCAAGTATTAATATTTGTAGCATTTCATCCATCAGTTTTTGGAAATATGGGTTTTCAACATTTTTTTAAAATAATATTTAAACATTAAAACACAAGAATTATTCATGACAAATGCAATCGCAACGAATAAACTATTGTATATAAATTGGTAAAGTTTTCTGAAAATATTTACGAAACGGATCACTTATTTTTGATAATAACTTAACTACCTTAATAAAAATAATAAATTATTTACTTCAAATATAAACTGAAGATTTTTGGAATTAGTGGTACATACAAAATGTTCGACGTATTGTAAACAAACCAATCGGCTCCTATGGAACAACCGATAGGTTTGGCACAGGAAAACACTAAATAAAAGATTTCCCTTAGGCCGGCATCCAAATCTTGACTATATCCTTTCGAACCATTTGGCAATTCAAATTTATATGCGAAAGGTTGCGTATTCAGGCACCGTGAAAAAAGGGGACACAGGGAAGGGAGAAATTTAGACCTATTCACGTTTTGCGACTTTCTCTTTAGTCTCTGTCGGGTTTATCACTCCCGAATTGTATTGAAATTGGGGCTTAAAAGGAATTATGCAAGGTTCGACGACACTTGAGCCGGGAAGATCTCCCCCGTCATTTTTTTGTTTCAATTTTTGTGCGTTAAGATTTTTGACCCTGGTATTTCCGGAGGTCAAAGATGGTGGCGCGTATTTAAAATGCATGTCTCAGATTATTTTTTATTTCTACAATACAATATAATAATATTACAATACAATATGATACAAGTGATTTATTGTACAAGTAGAGTGCATATTATACAAAAGAAAAAATTATACTAGCTACATTAAATTTTCCTTATAGTTGTATATATTCACTACATAAACATGTTCATAAGTTTTAGTTGGTATTGGTTAGTTTCGCCAATGGCTGACAAACGGTTTACATAGACAACTTTTAGTTTTGACGAAAAAAGTAATAAAACTTACTCCACATGGAACTGTTTGGTTATTCCCAAGCAGCTCCATTTTAAACGCTGCTTTTGCTAAAACATTATCAAACGCTTCCTCTCCAACTTAGATCAACACAGATTTGACAACAGAGGCCGTAATATTTTTATTCACATTTTTTTCCGCAAATTCGTGATATAGTTTGGTGGTATTACTTTTACACATTTTTGTTATATTTTTTGTAAGCATTTTTGTCCAATAAACCAGCTTTTCGCAAGTTATTATTATTGTTGATATTATTTTTTAGTTTTTTCACTTTGCACAGTTTTTTTTGTATACCCACACATGTTTATTCGATATTAATTCATTTCAATAATTGTATAAATATATAAATTTATTTTAAATTTTATATATTTGACTGGTTGTTGGCTTTAAGGGAAAACATGCCCTGATCTTGAATGTGGTCCCCAACTAATAATATTCTTCTTCATAAATTTTTCTATACGAATAACGGTTGTTTATTATTATTACATCTAAAAGCGACGACCACTGCAAACTACGTCAACTGATTTACGATAATTCATAAAAACCATTAGTGAATCTGGAAAATTTGTGTAGGTCACTTTAACTAAAACATTTATAATATGTGAGTCTATGACGTGTTTTAAAAAATGTATTATTATCATTATCAAATGGATCTATGCCTGTAAATACAGTTAGCAGTTCGCTCAGCCATTTTCATCTTTTATGCACGTTTAAATCTTGGAAATACTTTCGAGAGGTTTAAGGCAAATTGGCCATTTTCCAATCTCGGCGTTAGTAGTAATGGCCCCTGCTATTAACGCCAGAGTTAATACGAAAACATGAGCTCTCCTGGGACGGATTAAAACGTTCCCAGATTCAGGATATTATGCAAACTACTCGCTTTTACTGCTTATTGGATATTTTTGTAAAGCAATAACCTATAGGTGATCTGCTATTTCCAGTTTTCAGACCCCATTAGCACCACGTTTCATGTAATATTAATGTGGTTGAAGTTAAATTTGGATTTGGATTTTACAATATTAGAGTGGACCAGTTCGTTACTTATCTTAATTAAAAAAACATATTCCTGTGGACATGCTGGGTAAGTAAGCACGGAAAATTTTTAAAGGAACTCCCAAAAACCATATCCATTGTTGCAGCCCAAAAAATAATTTAATTACTATTTTGTTGTCCCAGAGATTCAATCAGACCATTAAGACTTAGGAGAGCTTCAAAATTCAACCACCTTGAAACCGTCGGGAAGATATAAAACTACCCCCATAATGAAATGACCAAATATTCGTTTTACTTATTTCGGAACCTCAAAAAAATCTAACGTTTTCCCTGATATTCAATTAGACTATTAAAGAGCCACTTAGGAGAGCTTCAAATTGATGTATTATTCAACCACCTTAAAACCGTCGTGAAGATATAAAACTACTCGCAATAATCAACTACCCAAAAGTTCGAAATAAATATATCGAACCTCAATATTGCCTTAAAGACATTTATGAAGGGATAAACATAAAATTAAAGTCACTGACATAAAGGACAATGAGTGGCCCTTAATCACTTGATTTAAAATTTCTGTAAACCTATTTCGGCGACATTTAATTCGAACTTAAGCGCGCCTATTCTCAAACCATTTCTAATTGTTACATAACACAATGTAAGTATTGTTTAAAAATAATTCAAAGTAATCTTTCGTAAATTACACGTCCCTTTCACGGCAAATAAGTGAGTACTCAGATAAAATTTTACAGGCTCGGACTCGGATGTGTGGAGTGATAATGTAATCATTATGTCGTATAATAAACGGTAATAATTTATGAAAAATTGATAAGTCTCATATGAGTGATGTGCAAGTAACTAACCAAATTGGGAAATCGCATTTAATCACAATGTTTACATGCCGATGATCAATAGTTTAGCAAACATAAATTACAGAGGTTTAAACACTTTTTCAAAGGATTCAACTGGATTTTAATACTAAGCAAAACTAGTAAAATCGTTTCGAAAAATAAATGAAACGATTGTTAATAAGCATCTTGTAATTAGTATCTCTCATTTCTTTTCAAACTAGTTTTACTGTCCTATGGGAGACCAAAATACTGACTTAGTTAAGAAGTCAAAAAAAACTCTTCTTTGTTTTGGTTTAACAAACACAAATTTACGCAGCATAGATAATGTAGTCGCTGTGTGACATGTTTTCTTTCACTTTCATTCATATTTCAAGATTAGTCTTCACTTATCTGCGACGAACATTTTTTGAAATAGAACAGCCAGCAATCCGAATCCTAATTTAACAATGTGACGGAGCACAACAATACAGGACTCACAAGTAACATATCAGTTTCGTTTCCCACGGATCCGAGCCACTTCGGATATTTCCGGGATTTTTAACTTTTTAACGCACTCCTCGTGAGTCAAATAACGTTTACCGCACTAATTGCATAATATACCATTATATTATTAACGCTTTTTAACTCTGGGGAAGTTTAATGTAGACTCAAACACCGGTGTACATATATTTCTTCTAAAGTTTAATTTTAATTGCATTAATCTATTTGTCTTACTTTAATAAAGGTAAGTCAACTCGATAAAATTATATTACAAAAATCTACGTAATATATTGTTTTTAATAATTAAAAACTTGTTGTCATCAACAGGATTAATTATTCTCTTTTATTTATTTCGGTACTCAAAATAATGTACACAAAATTGAATAAACTGATTAACCAAACAAGAGAAGACGAAGAACAGGAAGTGAAAGTAATATTAAGTACTATGGTTATACTACTGGAGAGTTCCTAATTTTACCAAAACCAAACGATTAGATATGAAATCATAGAAAAATATAAATTTCTGATTTTCTAGTAGAATTGAAACTTTATTCAAATGTGTCTATGTGACTATAAGTATTGATTGTAGTTCTTTTGAATTTGAATTTGAAAGAAGTCACAGTAAAATTAATTTTAGTTTCATCAAAATGTTGGATTAATCATATTTATACAATCTAATATTTGAGACCATTCAATTTTATTACAAAATAGTTTGTTTATAAGGAAAATATATGAAACTGATATTGTGGAGCTCAGAGTTATTAATTTAAGACGCCAAGTAGGTATTTGTTCACGCTCAAAGTGATTTGCATTTGGTTGAATTTAAACACAACCTAACGTATAAACTTTTTTTGGATTTCTGTTTATGTGTTTCAAATTAATTGGAAAAGAATCAGAGATTTGGGATTAATGAAATTTATAAATATAAATATTAACTATTCTTTCAATATGTTTTTCAAACATTAACTTGGAGTCTATCAATACCTCGGGATCCTTGACATAGGAAACTAACCAAAACGAATATCAATGTTATTTTTCAGTCTTATTGGTTTTAATTTGTTTCTTTCACAGTATTCGGCGAAGTTATTTAAGTCTGATGATAGCCCCTAACAATCTTATCTTATGCACTTTAAGAAGCGAATACTAGAAAAAATGATTCATATCGTGAAAAGGAAACCAAAATGGAATTCTTGACATAATCCCGTATATTGAATCGTATTTGTCTAATCAGATATATTTGTTTCAATGTCCTTGTTTATTTTGTAATGTTTATATATAATGCTTTACACAAAGATTAACAGATAATAATATAAATTAATTATAAAATGGACCTTTTTTACAACGAGAGAAATAAAATACAAAAAATTGGAATAATCAATTAAATTGTTAGAAAAATGCCAAATATGAGCTGAGCAACCGTCTAGTACGATCCAACCCTGTGCAGTACTCTAAATATTTAATCAAATCGACTTGTAACTATACCTGTGCAACTTAAAGGTAACGTAGTATTTAAATCTTCAATTTCGAAGATAATTTCCAAACCCGAAAACGAATTACACAATGGATGCGCCAGTCGTACAAGTGCGACAGGGTAAATTGTTGGGATGTGCGGGACGAAGTATCGACGGGGACAATTTCTACAATTTTTTTGGCGTACCATTTGCCAAGCCTCCGCTGGGAGATTTACGGTTTAAGGTGAGCTTAATCCTAACGACCGACACCTAAAATCATTGGCGTTGATATTTTAGGCGCCTGTTCCACACGATGGTTGGGAAGGTACCAGGGATGCTACCAAGGAATGTGAAATGTGCTACTCCACCGAATCTTTCACGGGCGTCGTGCAAGGTTCTGAAGATTGTTTGTTTTTAAACGTTTACACGAGAAACGTAGGGACTTTAAAAAGTAATTCACATGATCAAATTTTATTTTTGTTTTTTTCATAGCTACCCAAGCAAAACGTCCCCTTGAAACCGGTAATGGTGTGGATTCATGGAGGTGCGTTCGTTCGAGGTAAATGCCAAACCAATCTCTACGGACCGAATTTTTTGATGACTCAGGACATCGTTCTAGTCACATTTCAGTACAGGCTTGGGATTCTAGGTAACTAATATATATTTATTAGTAGACCAGTGGTATTTGATTCATACTTATGGACTTATAACATTGGAAACTAGAGTTGAAAATTTTGAAATGAGAATATCGACATCCCTGCAACCTATAGCCATTTTGAGTATTGAATTCAATCCCATTTCTCAAGTGCGACAAAGTTACTACCAGGTTTTGAAACGGCGAAAGCGAGATGCAAGCTTGTTTGCCACAACACGTCAGCACAAACGTTTGCCACTGGCATTAGTATGTCGCAATGCGAAAATCTTTGGCCAAAATTATACCAGCATATAATTTCTCGTCCCTCTCTTTGAACCGATAAAATTTGTCGTTATCTGCATGATGTCTTCAGTTTAAAAATATTGTTATATACTAAACGAAACATTGACTTAGCCGTTCCAATTATAAAGAAAATAACGGTTTTTGTTAGGTCTACATCAAATCTTATTTGCTATTCACAAATGTAGCGAGAAATTCAGCAGCAGTAAATTAAATTCGCTAGCGGAATTTATATTTTATTATTTGTTATTCTATGTTGATTTCTCGCATTTATTTTGAAAAATACCGTGAAATAATTAATTTATTTTATTTTTGTAATAAGATGTGAAATATGTTGAATCACTTGGTACATACTTGACGGCATTGAGAGCTTATCAGAAAGTCTGAATATGCACTTCAAATGTTTAGAAATGAATAAAGGAACAACCGTTTGGTTGGTTTAAAATTATTGTTAATAAATAATAGCTGATCGCACTTAAATTACTAACAATGAAGAATATCAATATAAAAGATCGTTAATGTGAAATAAAAAATGTTGGACTGTCCTTGTTTAGAAATAACTTAGGTGTGCATGAATTATTACAAAATTACTTCATATCATTATTTTAAAATTAACAGAACGATACTACCATAGAACAGGATTAACTATGGAAGATCTTACAGCAACCGTTTCAGTTATCGGGTTCTCCTTTCTCGTAGTTTTCTAATTTTTTTTCGTTACCTACATAAAAATATATTTCAGGTTTTCTTAAGCTAAAAGATTCATCTCTCGATGTCCCGGGCAACGCGGGACTTAAAGATCAGGCGATGGCTCTGAAATGGGTTAAAGATAACATCGAAAATTTTAATGGAGATCCGGAAAACATAACGATCTTCGGCGAAAGTGCTGGGGGAACCTCCGTTAATTATCAGGTCTTATCTCCAGTGTCCAGGTGAGAAGAATTACGAGTTTGAGTCTGATTTTAAAAAGCTTGATGCTTTGGTAATGTGTGACGGGTAGGTGAGCAAAAGTGCTTTAAAAAAAGAAGTTTTTTTTAAGAAAAAAGACGTATCTTCCTAGAAATTATAAAGTATTTTATTTTTATTTATTTATATTAATTCCTCGTGAAGGTCCAATAAAATTGAAAATGCACAAATTTGAATTTTTAAAGCAACATAAAACATAAATGGTACACTGCTCAGCCAGGTGGTTGTTATCGAATTTTGCGTATTTTTAGAGGATTGTTTCACAAAGCAATAATGCAGAGTGGATCGGCGCTAAAGGTGTGGGACGAATGTACACACGACCCTGTAGAAATCGCTCAGCAACTCGACCCGAATGTAAAGACGGAAGCAGAAGCGCTGCAGATTTTCTTAAAGCTGCCAATCGAAGAACTTTACGATCTCCAGCTAAACTATTTAAAGGTTAACTTGTTTATTTATTATATATTAACTACGTAATTAATTTTTAGTTAATTTTTGGCCGCGTAATTTTTGAAAAATGCCCAATTAAGAACAGAGATTAATTGTTAAATGCGCATTATTCAACATCTCCCATGGGAAGACATCAGTATTACAGTTTCTTATCATAACTAATTAATTAAATAAAAAAGTCAATAATAAAATAAGTATATATAAACACAATTACTACACTACAAAACATTCAGTGGCAAGTGTGTTGAGTCAATAATTTTTATAAAATATTTCGATTCCTTTGCAATTTTTTTAATGCGTCACTTCTTTGCCAGAATTTTGAACACAAAGAATGTTCACATTGTCAGCTTTGGCAAAATATACTTCCAGGCATAAATTCACTTTAAAATGTTTAGAAATAGAAACGCACATATTAATACGCGTACAAATATGAAAATGGACCTTAGAACACCATACAGAAAAGGTCATTAGCGAATATAACAAAGTACCTGGCTTCTTAAAACATAAAACTGTCATTGTTCTAAGCTTTCGTTAGCATCGGTTATATGGAATCCGGGCTATAATATACATATCATAACATACGTCTCCCTTCCTGTGATATCGAGCATTCCCGTTAGTTATGAATAAATACAATAAATATTTAAAATATCTAAAATTAAAATTACTCTAAAAAAGTACGAAAAGTACAAAAAGTACGAACAATGCAAACTGTCAGAGAGAAATATAGAAATATATGTACAAAGTTAATTTTTCAAAGAAATTTCCACAGGCTTCTGTAATACTTTTTACAAAACTTCTAACTTCCAAACACAATGATTGGCGAAACGTCAGCAAGTTTGACTCGGCAAAGACCGACGCAGGAGGAATCCAGAAGTTTTGTAAAAAGTATGTACAAAGTTGCTATCAATGTCTGTAGAACAAATTTGGGACAGCATGATTAGGTCGCCGAATGTTTTGTTGGTCACTCTATTTCTGTTCTGTCTTCACTTTTCCGTTAAGTGTGTATTATCTGCACAGTTTTTGTTTTTTTTTTTTTTGGTATATTTTGAGTTCCAGAAAAACATTATTTTCTCGAAAACTATTAACCCGATCGGCAAAATTTATGAACCAGGAAATGGAAGAGATTCGGGATCATAACCTTTATTTCAGGCATTTTTTCCATTATATACAGGGTTTTTCAATTATAGACAAAAATCTAATAGATAATGAAAATCGTTCTTTTCTCTATTAAATTATTAACCGTAAATCAAAATTCGTGAAAAATATGGCCAGTTGCTTTAAACAGTGTTATAGACCACATCGAAAGCTACAATTTTTTTATTCACGGTTTTTATCTATCACATACGCTGTTCGAGATATATGAAAAAATCTAAATGAAAATCACCATTTCTCGCCCTTAATCTAGACGCGGTGACGTCATTTACTATTACCACGTACTACATGGTTTCAGAAAACAAGTATTTGCTTGAAAACCACGTACTCCATTGAAAAAAATCAAATACAAGGAAACCTGGGAGATCCAGGACTATAACCCCTATTTCGAACATTGATTGAATCATTTACAGGGTGTTTCGTTTATGGGCAAAAATATCAAGAACATCCTAAAAATTGCCGTTTTTGTTGGTAAATTATGGAGAATAAATGAAAGACTGCTAAAAATCCGTTAATTTTATTTGAACGGTATCGTAAACTGTGTCGAGATTGACTTTCAAGTTTCGTCAATTAAACAGGGCGCGCGAGATATTTGAAAAAATATCATTCGACAAAGCTATTATTTGTACAAATTTTAATATTTAACACAGTTTGCTGTAACTTTGAAGATCGGCGAGGCTTGAAAGACACTTTATACAGGGTGTACCACATAATAAACAATGCGTTTCTTTACTACAAGAAACCCAGCGACGATTTTTCGAAAGCAATCTTATTTTGCTTATTGCTTCAACTTAAAATCATGGCCAACTGGGAGTATTTAACAAAAGAGAGAGACGGGGGAATTACTATTAGCTATATTTTAAAATTTAAATTGGCAACGAATTCTTATTCAGGAATACTTAGATTCCAACTATTCCTATAATTTTTATAATGTTTCCATATAGAGTATTTGAAATATCGTTTACGCCCAGCTTAAGATTCTATATCGTTTTAAAATCTTTGATTACGGTTTAATTTTTTTTTGTTGGATACATCAACCCAAAGGACTAATTTTTGATGTGAAATATCTATTAGGGATTTCTTTTAGAATAGACTTCTTATTCTGGACTACATAACTATACTAATTCCATGAAGTTCGCTTAAGCATTACTCCGGTAGAATGTTAAGAAAATGTAACAGTTTTTTCATATAACATGGCAATCATGGCTAACTGACACAGTTTTTTGAAGCGGAAAATCGAGAAGTACTTTTAGAGATTTTTTCAAATTGAAAATGACAACAGATTCGTATTCAGGACTACCTAAATAAACTAGACCAATGATCAAAGCTTTTAGTGTTTTAAGAAAATAAATATTGCAAACCTTGTATATAACGATTATTTTTTACGTGATTTTAAAATATTAAAAATTTGAATTAGACAAATTTCAAAAATAATGATGATGATGATTAAAATTAGCGAGCGAATTTGACTGTCGAATATTGGCTTTTCTGTGGCAAACAAGGGTTTACAAAGCAAGCAGTATGCCGACGTCGACCAATTTTGATATTTCTGTTATGTTCATCATTAGATAAGAATTAAAAATTATTTGTAATTAAAAAATACAGTGTTGTAAAGTCTGTTTAATTAATATCTAATCCTTTCTAATCATATTTAATTTTAAGAAAATTGTTAGTGTCCTCCAGTTTAATCTATCCAAGAAAAAAGGATTATCAAAATTGAGCCATAAACAAATATTATACGATGTACAGCCTTAAGCAGGGCGTAAACGATATTTCAAACACCCTGTATTACACCCTGTGTACATTATAAAAATTGCTATAGTTGAGTTCCAAGTACTCCTAATAAGAATTCGTTGCCCATTTATTTTTTTAAAAATCCTTAATAGTACTTCTCTCTTCTCTCTCTTTTGTTAAATAGTCGTAGTTGGCCAAGACTTTAAGTCGAAATAATAAGCAAAACAAAGTTCTAGTGCATTTGTCAGAGACCCATCCAACAAGAAAAAATTATCAAAATCGAAGCATAAACAAAGGTTTTTCGAGGATTTACAGTATACACTATATATAAATATGAATAAATATGAACGGGAAATTACTTTTTTAGGTGAAAGAAATCGGAGAGATAAACAAACTATTCGGGCCAACCGTGGAGAGTGCTGAAAGCAAATCTGCGTTCATTCAAAGGCATCCAAAAGATATAATTTCCTCGGGTGAATACAGCCAAGTGCCCGTAATTTACGGATATAACACGCGTGAAGGAATGCTCTATGATTATTACAAAAAAATGAATCCGGAGAAATGTTTCGGAGTGGATGATGCAGTGCCATATTATTTAAATTTGCCTAGGGGTTCCTCCGAGCGTAAGGCTCTAGAGGCAGAAATGCGCAAATTTTACTTTAAAAGTGGGAACGACGAAGATGACTTACGTGTGGTGAGCGTCGGTTTAAATTGTTCAAAATAACTGTAGTAATACGAGTGGGTTGCAGCTGCTGGGAGATGTTGGTTACGTTGTCGGAACTCTTGCTGGTGCTTTGAATATCTCGAAAACATCCAAAAGTCCGGTTTACCTCTACCGGTTTGAGTTTGACACTTCAATAAATTTCTTAAAAAAGGCGGGAGGCCTTCAAAAGGAACCAGGTAATAGATTGTAGTCGTTAACTAGTCAGTATTACTTTTTCATATTTATGCTTGGCATTTCTCGCACAGATGTGCTCCTGATTTACTTGGTCTTGGTTGGGTTGCCTTGTTTTTAATTTTCTCTTTTTCATCTGCCCTTGAAACTTACTAACCGGATGTTACTCATGTTGAAGGCGCTTGTCACGCCGATGATGTCCATTACCTATTCAGTAGTGACCAACACCCGAAAATAGTACCCGGAAGCGCAGAAGACAAAGGCATCCGGCTGATGGTCAGGTTGTGGACCAACTTTGCTAAATACGGATGTCCGACGCCAAACCCAGACGAGTTTGGATTCATCTGGAAACCTTTTACTGAACAAGAAAAGAATTTCCTGAAGATCTGCTTGCAGCCTGACGTAGGAGTCAATCCAGATGCCGACAGGCTTGCGTTTTGGAAAAATATACTCGCTAAATACGAATCAACAAAGCATTTGTTGTGATATTAGATTTGTTAATAAAAAGAAAAAACATTTCAAGTCTCCCTATAACCGCTATTAAAAATTGCCGTCATTATTTTTCTTCAAAACATTTTACCACCCCAGAGTGTACAAAAAGGCACTTATATTCGCTATTGTGTTATCAATATAGTAGCAGTTTCCCTTGTACTACATTGCAACACTGATACAGGCAGCACAGTGCACTTAGAGCTCTGCAGGTTTTTGTGTAATGGTTAAAAAATGCACTCCACCTCGCACGATCTAATGAAAGCACATTGTTCTGTCGCTATAAAGTTAAATGGTCTTTGAGCTGAATGCCTTAGACGAGGTACAGATATAAATAACTCAAAACGTATTTTACAGCTACCAATTTGCATGAAACAGCAACACCATTACTTTCGGTAATTTATTATATCGAGTTAAGTGCAGCTAAAAAGAAGCATTTTATCAACATCTGTTTAATGAACTCTTGAGATAATTAAATTTTGTAATTAATGTGCTGCCTTAAAAAACTTTATAATTAAGGAGCTGATGAAAATTTATTACTTCTCCTTTTGTTTTATTAATCGAGGCTCGCGTTTCGATTTTAATCTAAACATTGCAATTCTAGACCTAACTAGACACATTGTAAATGAAAGGCCCTTCGGATACGCCACTGTTCCAAGTCTATGCTAAACCTTTTATTACTTGATGAAAAAAAGACAACAAAGGTTTAAAAATTAACAGTCATACTTATTGCTAGATAAGAAAAAAATATTACTTTTTTTAATATGCAAAACTTACTAATAAAGCTGATGCGCCAAGTTGTTTTGGTATTCATCTCGCATATAAATTCAAAATTTTATAATATGCTGCAAAGATGCGTCGATCAGGGAATCTTGCTGACCATCCATCGCCTCATCCTTTTTCCATTTTGTCTTGTTGCCTTTGCATTTGAAAGAAGAGTTGTTACAGTTTATTTAGTTCAATTGAATATATGCATGCCTACATTGCATCTAGATTTCATCTAGACTTCTGCAATGACACGACCTTTTGTATCTACAGTAACTTTTGTATTGTGAAATAACTTATTCAAAGAAATAAATTACCATGAAACTTTGCAAAGGACATTTATCAATATAAGAGATGAGCTGGAATGACGGTAGGGGAGCTATTTCTGTTTCTGCAGGCTACATCTTTTGTGCAGCTTGGCGAAAATCCAACAAAATAAATAATCACCGAAGCTAGAAGTGTTAATCTTCTACTTCTGGAGTGGACCGGGTTGCAGCATTATTGATTATTTAAACTCCATTCCGCGAAGGTGTTTAGCAATGCAGAATCTGAGAAGCAGCGTCCCATAAAAATCTCTTTTTAAGAAAAATAAAAAACCTCCGGTAAGGCTTTAAATATTTACACGAGTTTTACATTTTTACCCCACTTTCGAAATCAACTTTATTGGGAATATTAGGCTGTTTGCTTAGCTTACCATTTTTTCCGTTTGTTTCCTTTTGCAATATCACCACCTTTCACTTGATGTAAATTTAAATAAATGAAACTAAAATTCTTAATTTCATTACCCGAATCGAACCTTATATGCAGAGCTTGACGCTGTGTATTCTGATCATTGGTATGCGGAAGATACTTTCCGAACAAACTATTCCAGGCACATGTGTTTGCGACTCGTTAGCTATCGCAAACAAGATGCTCGTCAACTGTTTCAATCTCAAATTCCATGTTTATTTTTTCTTGCATTTGTAGCGAAGTTGTGGTGCATATTTTAAAAATGTCATCCGTAGAATTCTAGCGTACAAATTTTTAATTTGCTTGAATGTTGCGCCTTAAACACAGTTTGTCTCCAAAAGAGAATCTTGTAGTTCAGAATTAAAGAATGAAAGTCTTATATAAAACGTTGAATTAAAACACGTTTAAAGAAACCTTGATGAGACCCACAAATTTTAGTTAATTACAGGGATGCTTCAAGCAAACTCAACTTTGGTTTAATCTTTAGGACTTCCATCGTGGCAAAAGCTGGAACATGGTTTATGGTTGCTCTGTAGTGCAACGAGTGGCCCAGGCGAAAATGGCTAAGCTGCATAGCGATTGCTTGTGCCCTCAGCACATGTATAGGCAGGTCGTCGAAACCCTAGAGGTAAGGTGGGCTACATACAGATTTTTCAAGTGGCTTCGGAGAAACCGCAGGCATGCGTGATCAAGCGTATCTATTTGCTAGCAACGCTATTAGACCACGACATCAGGACATCAGACAAGATGCCATAAAGTGAAAATGTCGAGTAGGGATAGTGGGCTAAGTGGGGAAGACTGACCTCATGGGATATTATTGGTTCGCTGATGACTCCAAAACGCACGAAGGCGTTTTGGTCGACATATATATGGAGCACCAAAGTACGAAATTATTAGTCGTATATACCTCAGCTTATTCCAAGCGGAAATGCATGCGATTGAGATATGCACAAATACGCTGAAAAGGAAGCAAATTGTAAGGAAAACATGTACTGAAAACGACCCCATGTTTGCAGGGGTTCGCCAATTTGGAGACAGTCATAGAAAAAATGTATGTACATTGCACACTACAACCTCAAATACCATATGCAGAGCACATACTGTGTAGATTCCCGGCGGTGGGTAGAATTAGGTATACAAAACTGGGGCCGAAATCAATAGACTTGAGGATCTGAACAAGTTAACCCGTGAAAGAATAACGGACTTTTTAAGAATGGGAGTTTGATGCAGGAATACTTGGAAATGTACCGCAATAGATCACAGATCGAAGCGAAACGCTGGAACATCGGCCTACCTCTTGATCGGATTTAATAAGCTTAAAATGCTAAAAAAAAGCTAAAATTATTCTAGTTTACTCCTCGAATCCATAAATTAATTTTGTGCAGAAATGTTTTCCTTCATTGATTGTGTGCATACAATTTACTATTAGAAACAATTTGTTCACCAACGGTTGTTGTGAAACGAAAAGTAAATAAAAAAAAGCAATCAAAACAATTCAATTTTAAAATATTAAAGCGCCCGCCGACCTTTTAAAATTCCACTAGTTTTGAGGCACAAATAAAAATTGGTAATGCCAAAGTTGTTTACCTAATTTTGTCCAAACCTTGCAAAAATTAGCGGAAGGTTGAAAATTTCGATTTGGGAAAGATTTGCAAATAAGAAAATCTTACCAACGCTACCTACCTAAAAAACTTGTTTAAGAGATTCTTGTGTGAAAATTAATTGCATATATAAAGCCGATTTTCAAAGCGCCGTTGGTGTTACTCTTAGTATTTTAGTCCATCAGGGAATATATATATACAGCGTATTTGTACTAAATGTCGGATTTTTTTTTAAGAAAATATTCAGCTTGAGCTTTGTTTGTGATGCTTGGAACGGAAAGATCAAAAATAGAGATTAAAAAGTTTGAAGGATTCTTACTAATAATTTTTGGTATTCATTTCAATTAAAAGTGCTGCTTAAATTAATACAGTTAGTCATCACTATACAGGGTGTCTCAGGTTGTTCCTGAGATAGTAGAAATAAGCAAATTCCAAAATGGTTTTAATTGTCTATTACCAATTGCCATCAGTAATAACTCTAACATGTCGAATGCCATTTAAATATGTTTGCGGCTTAACTTCTATTAGACTATAACTACTATCTCAAATCAAGGAGTGGTTCTTGTTGTTATCACGCAAATCCAATCGGCATCTTTCTTTTCGTGCAACGTTTGGAAACGGATTATATATTTTACTGTCTCGTACAATGTAATCTTTAATTTTAGGATTGACACGGCAAGCCTAAATGAATTAAAAATTTTCTTGTTAAAAAAAATCTACAATAATTTGATACGGCGATAAGATAAAAACCGTAGCAAGTACCGATATAATAAAGATGTGAAAATAGTTTATTGATTTAGTCGTTGTTCGATCTTGGAATCTGAGAACATGTCGAGCCCGGTGGTGAAGTTGCTACAAGGGACTGTCCAAGGTGCTCTGAAAGAGGATATTTACGGAGGAAAGTATCACAGCTTTCTGGGAATCCCCTATGCCAAGCCACCAGTTGGTGAACTCAGATTTAAAGTAACGCAGTTTAAAATAGCCAGCATTTCTTCATTACATTTCTAGTTTCTTTTCAGGATCCTCTGCCACCAGATTCCTGGCTTGGGGTACGAGACTGCACTGCAGAAGCTAACATTTCCCTCCAAAGGAACCTGGATAACGGAAACATCACTGGTTCTGAGGATTGCCTTTATTTAAATGTTTTTACCAAAGATGTAAGTTATGGCAAAGATTTTTATGTTATGAAATTTACTGATCCTAAATTCATATTATCATTATCATTATTATAATATTTAATAGATATGTAAACGAAGGATACTTAGAATTAAGGATAATTTTCAAATATCTCAATTTAAAAACTCTAAGCCTTACTGAAACCCCCATTTTTAGTTGCCAAACGAACAAAGTGACAGGTTGAAGCCCGTGATGGTGTGGATCCATGGGGGCGCATTCAAATCTGGATCAAACTCCCTACTAGTGTTCGGCCCAGAGTTCTTAATCACCGAAGATATCGTTTTAGTCTCAATAAATTACAGGTTGGGCTTGTTGGGTAAGTTATCTAGCACAATCTATCTAGTTAAAATGACCTAAAATGATCATTTCTGGGATAAGGATTTCTGAGATTGAAAGACTCAGATTTTAATGTTTATGGAAACATGGGACTTAAGGATCAAACCGAAGCACTAAGATGGGTAAAAAACAACATACGATCTTTTAACGGAGACCCCAATAACGTAACAATTTTTGGTGAGAGTGCAGGAGGTGCATCAGTTCACTACCACGTCCTCTCACCTCTGTCAAGGTAATGCATGGTCCAATTTTTTACATTGTGACATCGGAGGTAATTCGTTTTAGAGATTTATTCCACAAGGCAATCATCCAAAGCGGAACAGCGTTGAATAACTTCAGCGAATTCGATCACAGTTCCGTTCAGATCGCCAAAACCATCGATTCTGATGTGAGAGACGAATTGGATGCGTGGCGATTCTTCAAACATGCTACTGCGGAGCAGCTCATTCAAGCGGAAGAAATTTATATAAAGGTTAAGGTTAAGGTTAAAAACGTATTCTTTTTACTCAGTTGTAACGTATTGTTGCAGAAAACTCCAGCCGGGAAGTTCATAGGACCGGTCATCGAAAAACCTCATAAAAAAGCGTTTATAACGCGGAGAGCGATAGATATTATCGCGTCTGAAGAGTACAACAAAGTGCCCCTCATATTCGGTTACACAGACCAGGAAGGACTCGTATTTAAGGCTCAAATCTTTGGATCGATTGCTAACAGAGAAAAGCCGTTTAGTATGGAGGATGTTTTTCCACGTAACGGCAACAAACTTTCAGATAATGTTAAGACTTTAGTGAAAAAACTAGAGAACTTCTATTTGAAACAAAACGACCCTGAAGCTGGAAGAATAATGGTATGAATTCTGGAAAGAATTATATATGCAGTGATGTACCACGAACGGTTACGATTTGGGATTATAATATTTCACTATTTCAAAAGAAAAATTATTATATGGTAACTTAATGGAATCGACAGACCATTTTAAAAGTATAAATCAGTGGGTGTTATAAGATTATTTTAATAAGATATTACTTGTTTGTGGTGTGTTCTATCATTGCTATAAAAGCTGAAGTGAGCCATACTTTCTTCTGACAACTGTTTACAGAAAATAAATGTATTGCGATTATCACTTTAATAAAAAAACGAATTAATGAATTCGTATCAGAAGGTGTGCAAGTACCATTTTTTTTTTCAAAGAAACTTCCACAGGATACTGTAACACTTTTTACAAAACTTCTGAATTCGTCCTGCGTCCGTTTTTGCTGAGTCGAACTTGGCTTCTTCAGACCTTGACTGAAACTGGGTCGCATTTTACTCTATACCTGCTTATATATTGTTTGAGGGGGCGGAACTAAATGAGGGGCATAAACACCGTCGTGGCCCATATTCGTGACAGGTAAAGACCTGAGTCGCGGTTAAGATTGTTAGGTTGTTTATAGATTTCTATAGACTTTCAGATTTTTCGTTGGTAGAACAATTGATTACATGCAAGAATTTTAGTTTTATCGAATAAATTTTTTTAGGTCCGGTTTCGTGATCGTGTTCGGCAAATGCTGATGAATTTATTTGTCTTAGTCTTAAGGCTCAAGGTTCTTTAATGTTCTTTGAGCCTAGTTGATATTTTTCGACCGATCTTTTCAATATATTCTTTGGCGCATATGGATGGAATGCTGGAAACTCCTGGGATCTCAAATGGAATTTTGTCTATGACGGATCGAAGCTGTTGAGACATTTTTTTGCCCCTCATTTAGCTCCGCCCCCCGCAAACAATATATATGCAGGTAGTAAAATTCGAGGCAGTTTCAGTCAAGCTCTGAAGAAGCCAACATGATGATTGATCAACGTTAGCAAGTTCTTATAAGAAGTTCCAAATTTTTAGCTTGACACAGATTGGACATTTCTATCTGGGACCTGGGCGAGCGTCAAAAACCATGTTCAAACATCGCCATATCCCGTATATCTATACAAAATGACAGTAGTGACAAAGCTGAATTTTTTCAAAATATTAGCTCACTTGGAACAGTATCCAGGTATGATATGAAGTCCATTTAATTTCTCGTTTTGAAAGGCATCATTTTTTTGAAATATTTACTGCCAATATATGCTGTTTCGCAATAGGCGTTTGCCACGGAGATGATATAGGATATCTGTTCAAAACCTTCACCACTCCACCGATAGAACCAGGTAGTCCAGAAGAAGTAGGTCTTCGCAGATTCGTTAAACTGTGGACGAACTTCGCAACGCACGGAAATCCCACTCCTGACCACGACGAGCTCGGTATCACGTGGAAACCTGTCATGATCCGTCAGATGAACGTACTGAATATCGGAGAAGAACTGAAGATAGAAATCAATTCGGAATCAAAGCGATTGGCATTGTGGAGGGAGATTTACCATCAACATCCTTCTACGGTTAAATACTTGTGATTTTAAAACAATATATATGATATTGGCAGTCACAATTTTTTTTATTATTTCTGCAAATTCTCGCATTGATTTGTTTTTTACACCTATAGAATTTTATTTATAGAGCTTAACGTTCTGTGTTCTGTTCATTGGTATGGGGAAGATATTTCCGAATTTATTTTAATAACATGTTTTTTCCGGTTTGTTAACTATCACAAATAGGGTGCTCAGGTTTCTGCAGTTTTTTTTTTTCGATCTTGTATAGACAGGCTCGCTAATCTTGGACCACTACAATATCTCAAAAAATATAGACAAAAAATTCAATACAAATGTTGTAAGGCAAGTAGTAAGTGATACTTCAAGCAAAGTTTAAATTTTGATTTAGTTCTTGGTTGAATTTAATAATCCTCAAGTGGAAAAATGAAATTTGCAGAGTTGTTTAAATCCTTTTAGTTTACTGCCTGCTTGAGTGAGATTTAAAGACGTTACTTTGGCTCATTTTGGCAATTTTGCAAATAAGAAAATCTGACCAGCGCTAAAGACCTGAGTTCTTGAAAATACAAAACTGCAAAAATTTTGGTTGTCGATCTTTTTGTTGTAATTTGCTCAATTTTACCTTGTGTTACCTGCCTAGCTATCTAGCTAAAAAAATAGATCTATACATAATAAAATTGATTTTTAAAACTACGAATGAGCATTTTAAGTGTTATAAGGGAATGCGAAATAGTGGATTATTATTATATTGAAATAATATAATATAATATTATAAGGGAGTAGAAAAAAAAATGCTTTAGTGAATTTGTTTTTGAAAAATCGGCAAAAATATGACATTTTTATATAATTATGCTTATAGGTCGGCAATTGTGGTTATTATTATCGGTACTTATATTACTAATTACCATAATATGTATAACAATCATTCCAAGATGTCGTTTGTCATTTGAATTTGTGTAGCGGCTTAATATCTAATTGATTACAGCCACTATCTCGATCCAAGAAGGGGGGTTCCTGTTATCAAGTAAATCAAATCGGCATTTTTCTTTTCATACATGGAAAAGGATTAGTAGAATGTGATATATAATTTTAGGAGTGACACAACAAATCTTAGGTTACAAAAAACATCTACAATAATTTGATACCGCGATAAGATAAAAACTGTTGCAAGTGCCGACACAACAGAGAATTTTGAATAATTCATTGATTCAATCGTTGTCAATCTTGGAATCTGAGAACATGTCGAGCCCGGTGGTGAAGCTGCTTCAAGGGAGAGTTCAAGGTACTCTAAAAGAGGACATATACGGACGCAAGTTTTATAACTTTCTGGGAATCCCCTATGCCAAGCCACCAGTTGGAGATCTCAGATTGAAGGTAACGCCTTTGTTATTACTGTGAATCTACCTACCAAGAGGATAAAAGTCACAAACAAACCTTTTTCTTTTCGCAAAAATCGAAATTTCAGTCAGCTTACAAGAACCAGCATTGTACTGATACATTTCTAGTTTCCTTGCAGGATCCTCTGCCGGCAGATTCATGGCTTGGGGTACTAGACTGCACTGCAGAAGCTAACGTTTCCCTCCAAAGGAACCTGGATAACGGAAACATCACTGGTTCTGAGGATTGCCTTTATTTAAATGTTTTTTGCAAAGATGTAAGTTATGGTGAGGTATCGATGGAATTAAGGCCAATTTTCAAAATATCTTATCAATTTGGGAAACTACAAACTCTGAGTAGACTGTTTACTCTAGCTCCACTTTTTAGTTGCCAACCGAATAAAGTGAAAGATTGAAGCCTGTAATGGTGTGGATTCATGGGGGTGCCTTCAAATATGAGTCAAGCTCCCCACTAGCGTACGGTCCAGAGATCTTAATCACTGAAGATATAGTACTGGTTTCAATGAATTACAGATTGGGCTTGTTGGGTAAGTCATCTAGTAGGACCAAAGTTTATTGCTACATTCAAAACTTAATTTATTCATTTATAAATTGAACTGTGGTGGCTTTTACTTGATGAAAATCCATTTATCAAAATAAATAAGAACTAAAAGTTTAGATTTTCGACAACACCGTGTCTTTATCAAATGATTTGTAATATATAATTTCGGGAAAATCTGAACTTTTAGTTCTTATTTATTTTTATTTATTTATAGGTTTCCTGAGATTGAAAGACTCAAATTTTAATGTTTATGGAAACATGGGCATTAAGGATCAAACCGAAGCGCTAAGATGGGTAAAGAACAACATAAGTTCTTTTAACGGAGATCCCAATAACGTGACAATTTTCGGAGAGAGTGCAGGAGGTGCATCAGTTCACTACCATGTGCTCTCACCTCTGTCGAGGTAACTTACTTTTAGAGATTTGTTCCACAAGGCAATTATTCAAAGCGGAACAGCGTTGAATAACTTTAGCGAATTCGATCACAGTTCCGTTCAAATTGCCAAAACCATCGACCCTGATGTGAGAGACGAATTGGATGCGTGGTGATTCTTCAAACATGCTACTGCTGAACAGCTCATCTAAGCGGAAGAAATTTATATAAAGGTTAAACTTTTGTACGAACATTTTATTAACAAATAATATTATTACCAAGTTGTAATAATTTCTTATTGCAGAAATATCCGGCGGGTAAGTTAATAGGACCAGTCATCGAAAAACCTCATAAAAAAGCGTTTATAACACGGAGAGCGATAGATATTATTGCGACTGGAGAGTACAACAAGGTCCCTCTCATATTCGGCTACACAGACCAGGAAGGACTCTTGTTAAAGGATCATATCTATAGATCGATAACTGAAAGGGAAAAGACGTTGAGTATGGAGGATGTTATTCCACATAACGGCTACAAGCTTTCAGATAATATTAAGAATTTGGCGAAGAAACTTGAAAATTTCTATTTGAAACAAAACGATCCCGAAGCTGGCAAAATATTGGTATGAACACTTTTTATTTCTCTCGAAGAAATCAAAATATGCGTCAGTTTATCACCGACCAATGCTATTAATCTTCAGAATACCTTGTTATAAAACTAAAACTGTAAAAAACTGGCGGTTGCCGTTTGGGAATAGAATATTTTACTATTTTCAAAGAAAAGTCTTTATAGGTGGTAGTATATTTACCACAAATGCTGACGTAAGCCATACTTTCCTTTGATAAGTGTTTAGGGAGAATGAATTTATTATTGCGATAAATTATTTATGAAATCTATGTACAACTTTAATAAAAAGACACAATTAATGAATTGGCACAAGCAAGTGCACATTCCAATATTTTTGTTTTGTGGGATAGTGAAGTCCATTCGTTTCACTTGTAAGAGGTTTCAACTTTTAGCTTGACACTGATTGGATATTTCTATCTGGGACCTGGGCGAGCGTCAAAAACCATGTTCAAACATCTCCATATCCCGTGTATTTATACAAAATGACAGTCGTGACAAAGCTGAACTTTTTCAAAATATTAGCTCAATTGGAACGGTATCCAGGTAAGATATGAAGTCCATTTAATTTCTCGTATTGAAAGGCGTCATTTATTTGAAATATTTACTGCCAATATTTGCTCTTTCCCACTAGGCGCTTCCCACGGAGACGATATTGGATATCTATTCAAAACCTTCATCACTCCAAAAATTGAACCAGGTAGTCCAGAAGAAATAGGTCTTCGCAGATTCGTTAAACTCTGGACGAACTTCGCGAAACACGGAAATCCCACTCCTGATCACGACGAGCTTGGTATCACGTGGAAACCTGTAATGACCCGTCAGATCAACGTACTAAATATCGGAGACGATCTGAAGTTACAAATTAATCCGGAAGCGAAGCGTTTAGAATTGTGGAGGGAAGTTTACCACCAACATTCTTCTACGGTTAAATATTTGTGATGTTTTCACAATAAACATGAAAGTCGAAGTCACAACATCTGTTATCATTTTGGTAAACTCTCACTTTAGCCTCGAGTCTGTAATTCCCAAAACTGTACGCCCCATATGCAAAGAGTATTTGAATTTTTGAGATAAGATAAGCGACACGTTTAATCTATGGCGCAATAATTATCATATTACGCTGCTAAAACAAAACCAATTTGTTATAGAAACTTAATTGCGACAATAAGTTATGTCTGAGCCAGTGGTCGAAACAAAGCAAGGCTTTATTCAGGGCTGCACCAAGCATGATTTGCTCGGCGAAAAATTGTATGCCTTTTTGGGTATTCCTTTCGCCTTGCCGCCAGTGGGTAGCCTCCGATTCAAAGTAAGTAATTACATTTAAAAATTAAACGTCTTTTAACTCGAAATTAGTATAAAGAAAATGACCTAAAACAAATGGTATTAGGATCCGGTGCCGATCACTAAGTGGAAAGGAATAAGAGATGGTAGTGTGGAAGGAGCCCCGTGCTGTCAATTTGATGAATCAACCCAACGGATCGTTGGTTCGGAAGATTGTTTATATTTGAACGTTTTCACTAAGGAGGTAAGTTTTTATCAAGCAGTAACTCCAACAATGGTCTGATCTTTCTTTTTATAATGGTATTCTGTAATCCTTATAACTGCCATATAATCAAATACCAGCGGACAATCCATTCAAAATAAATGTTAGATATACGAGAAACTAGCCAAATTGCCCAAGTTAGTTGCTAGATTTAGTTGATAAAGTTATTTGATAGTTAACAATGATAAAATAAATAAACACTTTAATCTACTGCTCTTGATACGTAACTCGAAATTAGTAATTATCTAATTTAATGTTCTTGTTATTAAACCGCAAAATGAATTAACTGTTCGAATCCTGTAGGATTTCGCAATCAGACTTTGTATTAATTTTCACAACAGCGTAATATTTCAAAGCACCGAAACAATCACTGTGGTTCAAAAGTTAGTTAAAAGCAGATGCAGCAAACTTTAGAACGAAACATGTTAGAAATAAAAGATTGTAAAAGCGCCAAACGCGATATTTAAGAACTTAGTGACCCACAGTAGGGAAGTATTAAAGAGGAAAATAAAAAATACACAAGCAAATTTCGAGACCTACTGACTTAGGATTTTGAGGTTGTTTATTTTGCAACTTTCCAGCTACCGGAAAACCAAAAGGCTACATTAAAACCAGTTATGGTGTGGATACATGGAGGCGCGTTTCGACATGGGTCCAACACCTTGGCGCATTTTGGTCCAGAGTTCCTTATGACCGAAGATATCGTGTTAGTTACTATTAACTACAGGCTTGGATTATTGGGTAACAATAAATGACGAATTGTGCCAAGACACAACGCATGGGTTTTAATCTACAGGATTCTTGCGATTAAATGACACAAAGTTAAACGTAAACGGAAATATGGGATTAAAAGACCAAGCCCAAGCTTTACGGTGGGTTAAAGACAACATTGCTTATTTCAGTGGAGATCCTGGCAACGTCACAATTTTTGGTGAAAGCGCAGGTGCTGTTTCCGTGCATTATCACGTGCTATCTCCACTGTCACGGTAGAAGTCACCAATCCGATTGTTTAATTACTAGTAAGAAATTTTATTTTAGCGATCTGTTTCATAAAGCGATTATGCAAAGTGGTACCGCGTTAAACTCTTGGGGTGAAACCGACCATAATGCCGTAGAACTAGCTAAACTTCTGGATCCTTCGGTAAAAGATGAAAATAGTGCGCTTGCACGTTTAAACGAAGCTACGCCTCAGAAGCTCTACGAAGTATGTATTTTCACCAAATTATGCTTAACATACTTATTTCTGTTGAAGCTTAGAGGCATTTAGTAACCTACCAAATTCAGTCTGTCTTTGTTTATTGTGTTTATATGTTATATTTCTTTTATTTACGTTACCAATTTCAGATCTTGACTCTGTACTCCAAGGATGATCTTGCAGTTAAGTGTTCTTTTCCCATTTCTTTTTGATGATTGTCGATTACTACGTATTTTGAAAATTTGAATCTATTTGTAGCAGTATTTATTTGGATTATTTTTTTGAAATTTTTATTAACGATAAGGCAATTTACTAATATCCGAGACTTTCAAAGAAGCAACCATCTATAAGCTAAATAGCTGACAGCACTTATGGAAGGCTTTACAGTTATATACAAACTATATATTCTTTAAAACACTTTATTCTATTTTTTCAAAGAAACTTTCACAGGCTACTGTAGTACCATTTGCAATTTACAAATGTTCTGTATTCCTCCTGTGTCGGTTCTAAATGAATTGAACTTGCTGACATTTCGCCAATCATCCTGAAACTGAAACTGGCATTCTACTCTGTACCTGCTTTATATTGTTTGAGGAGAGCGCGGCTTGAAGGGAGGGGAGAGGGGGGGCATGAAGGTTCCCGTACTGGTGAAAAATGAAGACCTGAATCGCAGTTAAGACTGATTGTTTTCCTTTGTAGAAGAAATGATTACATGCAAAAATTTTAGTTTTATCGAATAAAATTTGATGTCCAGTTCCTTGATTGTGTTTGGCAGATGCTGATGAGTTTATTTGCCGTAATCTTAACGCTCTTTTGTCTCTCCAACGTATCCTTTGCTGCATATGCATGAAATGCTGCAAACTTCTGGGTCTCAAACGGAATTTTGTTTTTGACGGATCAAAGATGTTGAGAAGTTTTCGGACAAGTGGTAAATCTAGTTTTGTCGATATATTTCTTAACAACTTTTCAAATGTGGTCAGTTTTTACTGCAAAGAAGAACAACAGTGAGTTGCTTTCGGACTCATTGTCTTTGGAAGGTTGCGGTGAAGTGTATTTTGTGTTCGAACGCTTAATATCTCAAAAGTGGAAATTATTTAGGTCTGATTTTCTATTGATAAAAATGTCTAATAATGGGAGATTATTATTAGTTTCCAATTCTATGGAAAAACATTTGTTGAGGTGAATAGATTTTAAATTGCTAAGAAAATCTACCCACTATCTTCCAAAGGCAATGAGTCCGAAAGCAACCCCACACTTGCCTTTCCTTTTCTTACATTCAAAGTATCATCGATATATCAAAAGTTCTTAAGAAAAATGTCAAAACCAGATTTATCGCTCAACCTCTTTGATCTGCCAAAGAAAAAATTTCGTTTGAGACAACAAGAGTTTACAGCACTCCATGCATATGCGGCAAAGAATACATTGCAGAGGCCGGACGAAACTAAGCTTAAAGAACGTGAAAGAGCCTTAAGACTACAACAAATAAACTCAACAGTAGTTGCCGAACACAATCACGGGAATCAGTCATTCGAGACAACGTTCACAGCACAGTTCAAGTACAGACCGGTATGTTTTTAATATTGCAATGAGGTTTGTCTACTTTTTTTCTGACATGTTTTATTGAATGATTTTTTGCGCATTTTTCTTCCTTCGAAGTAAGTTATATTCAAAACAGATAATTAGAAGTATTTCTTATAGATATCCTTAAATATAAAAATTGGTCCGGTCATTGAACACCCATCGCCGAACGCATTCATAACCAGAAGACCAATAGACATCATAAAATCCGGCGAACACAACCAAGTGCCAATGATGTTCGGCTACACGAATAGAGAAGGACTATTGTTTAAGACCGCAAAATACGAAACGGGAAAGACATTTCAGATCGAAAATCTAATCCCTAAAGAGACTGATCATCGGAGCGCAAAGGAAATTAAACAAGCGCTGACTGATTTAAAAGATTTTTATTTGAATGGTTCAGATACTGAAGACGGACTGATAAAAGTGAGTGGGTTAAATATGAACTATTTACTTTATTATTGAGTTCAAATTTTTTTAGCTGGTAACGGATTGGCAATTTGTAACTGACATTATAGCTAGTATAAAGAACCATATTAATTCTTTGAAAGAGAAAATTTTCGTATATAAAATGACGGTGGATACGAGATTAAATTATTACAAGAAAAAATCAAATTTGGACCGTTTTTATGGTATGTCCACGTTTAAATCGAGTTTCTGTATGTTTCTGCAAATCCTGATTTAGAAATCTGGAAAATTGTTGAAATTAAATGCAGTCTGCAATTTGTCTAAAAGACCTACATTTTCAATATTACATTCCTTTTGATAGAACTGTAACTACAGTAACAGACCTAATATCTTCTCTATTTGTAGAGTTTAAAATCGTAAAACTTTTTGTAGAAACTGATTTTGAATTAGTTGAAAATCATCAAAAAGAAAGCCAAATTTAAGTTTTTTTCAAATCTCAATCGGTCAAAACAAATTGTAGAAACATAACTTGTATTTTCGAGTTCCACATGTAATTTGAAATTTCAATTTTTTTTGTAGGTGCTTGTCACGCAGATGACTTAGGTTACCTGTTCAAAAGCGTTTTCACTCCTCCCATAGATGAACTAACCAATTTAGAGAGTGTCAGTATTAAGAGGTTTGTCAAAATGTGGACCAATTTTGCAAAATACGGCAGCCCAACGGATGAGGAACTGGGAATTGAATGGGTCGCAGTAACGCCAGAAAGATTAAGCGTGATCACGATAGGTGAAGAACTGAAAATAGACATAGATCCCGAATCCAAGCAGTTAGAGTTGTGGGCGCGTATTTATAACTTTGATCCACGTACTGAAAACTATCTGTGCTTGTAATTTATATTTTTTTGAGTTCTGCGCCCAAACGGCTGTTTTTGATAGCGATGTAGAAATACTGGAATATATATATTTTTATTTTTATCCTGCGTCAATAATTCCAAATTATTATATACCCCAAATGCACATGGAAATATGTTAGCAAAGGTTATATTTAGATGTAATAGAAATAAATATTGTATCCAAGAAGGAGTATTATTTGTTAGTTCCCAACAGCTTTTTTAAATATTCATATTATCTTAATAAATTATTTTGTCTAAAGAAATAACCTAAGGAATCCCAAAATACCTTTCTAGGTTGTAAACCTAGACAGACATTTTCGAATAATTAAAAATCGATATTGCTTATAGTAAAAACCCCTGGATAGCAATAAATTCGGTCGAACGCAAGAATAGGCACAATTGTGTCGAGGGTTCTGAATCCCCATGCAATCAAATTTAATTTGCTTGAGCAGTAATTGGATACTCGATAAAATCTAGAGCGTTGCCATTGATAAAATTGCTGTTTGCAAATATCTTTAGTGTGATTTGATCGAACTACAGGAAACAAATTAGGCAACAAACAAAAAACTCTTGATTTCTACCACAACGTAAGTCTCGCTGATAGAGCTTGTCAATATACAGGATCGGTAATCACTACGTGCATATATATTGACTGCATTTTTGGATTCTCTACAAAAAAATTACCCAAGCTTATTTTCTAACGTACATAGAAAACTAATACTTTTTGAAATAATTGAAAGAATAATTACTTCTGGTACTTTTTAAGTAAGAATTTTTGGTTTATTTACTATTTTAATGTATATTATATATATATATATATATATATATATATATATATATATATATATATATATATATATATATATATATATATTTGTGTTCACTGAGTGTTCGAAGTGTTTTCGGAGCACGAGCATTGAAGATGCCAAGTGAGATCTTGGCGAAACGTCTGCAGGATTCCAGTCGGAGTTCAACAAACGAACGGATGATATTCCGGAGTATAACATGACCGTCAGCACTGACAAAGGTCAAAATGCAAGGCTTGGGAAATATCTCCGAAAAGATCCGGTTCTTCCCAAACCCGAGAGGTAAAATCTCGGAAATGTTCAAAGTGTAAAGTGACGCTTCCCGCAAGCTACATCGGTGTGTGATTAGGTATTTTACACACGGGAGTAGAAAAACATATTTTTATTGTATATTCAGGGTTCACAGAGAGTAGTGAACGATCACAGAAAAAATTGTCCCTAACCTTAAGAAAGGATGTAGAAGCTTAGATGCAGGATGTTCAATTTGAAAAATTAGAGCAAAAGTTAGTTAAAGTTCATCAAGAACAACTCAGGCGCTTTGCTAAACCCTAATCCTTACTTAATTTTACTAAGGCGACAGATTAAACGATATAGGAGATCGTAAGTTAGAAACGGTATTTAAAAAGCTTTTCATTAAAAAAATCTATATATTTGAAACTGTTCTTTGTAGCACTTATTAGAATATTGCGATCTCTATTTGAATGTGCCAGGGCGGTCTTGTTCTAACCAAAATGATTTAATCCTACTCCGATTGAATTTAATACGTTCGATTGCAAAGTTCATTCCGCGTGACAATTCGACAATGCCGACGAGCGTGCTGAATTACTCCATTGGCGAGGCGCTAGGGCGTTGTTTTATTTAAATCCATTCATCTCCTAATTCAAGCGGATTGGGATAAATGGACTTCAGCCGAAATAGTTCTCAAGCGTCGCTGCTGCTTACCGTATTATCTTGCCGAATACAAATACTACGCGACTGCGAAAATTGATAGATGCACATTGCGGAAAGCACTCTAAGTTTTGGCATTCATTTTTGTTTTCGTTCATGCGCATATGACACCAAATACAACCCAACAAACAATTTTTTCTAAGCAAGTAAGAACATGGCCGACCATTCTAGGTAAATAGGAGGAAATGATGTTGCCAAATTCATGACGAATTCATTGGACAAGTTTTTTTCTTTACGCAATAACATTATTTTTTATCTTGTTATCTTGACAAAACGGGTACACAGTAATAAAAACGTGGTAAATGCAAAATATAACCAGTCTCCAACGGGTATTAAGATAATTGCAGAAAAAGGAAAGAGACTAATAATCGTCCATATTGGAAGCGCAGATTAGTTTTAAAAAAAGGTTTACTACTTTTTCAATCTTATACCGGAGACTACCACGAGGACATGAAAAAAAGGCACCGTATCTTATGCCCTATGTAAGGAATTGGGGTGGAGAAACTTGTGACTAAAACGGCAAAGAGAAACTCCTGCGAATTGTCACCAGGTCTCGTAATAGCATTCTTGAATTGGAATTCCGCGTTTTTATACTAGATTACAGATACCTCAAATGAACATTTGTTTTAAAGTTAGGATAAATTATATTATTTTCAACGCTGCCCTGATCGGTTTGATTTCGATTGATTGTATCGCCCCAAAGAAATTAAATGCAGCGACATCGCTTTCATTGCTACAAAATATAGCCAAATATAATTTCGATATGTTTTTGCTAAACTCTAATATCAATAGAAGAAAAAAAAAACAAAAAATATCCCCACCTTGGTGAATATTTTCAGAACAGCAACCATTAAATCATAAAATCTATATAAATTTACTGGTAAATATATTTTTCTACTCCCGTCTGTAAAATACCTAATTACACACCGATCTATCGTACGGGAAACGTCACTTTACCACGTCAGTTTCGTTTCCCAAGGATCCGAGCCACTTCGGACATTTCCGGAATTTTACCGCACGGGTTTGGGAGCAATTGGATGTTTTCGGAGATTTTCAGTGTCAGTGAATGTATTCGTGTTGTATTGCCAAAATGTACCCAACAACTAACGGTCTTAGAAAAAGTTATAGCATGCAACACGTTTGGCATACTTTTTAAATCACTCGTTTATTAAACAAACAGTCGCTCCGCCAAATAAAAAGTCAATAATAAATTACATTCAAAAATCAATTAAACAGATAAAATACTAAAATCTGTGCGTTTTAGTAGAGAATACTCCATCGCATAGAGCATAGGAAGGCTGTAGGTGGAGAATGCATTTTTGACAAATAAGGCTATTTTACTTTTTCCAAAATAATTTAAAAAATTTGAATTTTGGATATACATTTGGGCAATCATATTGAATGACCATTAATTATTATTGACATTTAATTTTAACAGTAAATTTATATATATTTTGCTTACCCAAAGATGGGACATTATTTGGAGAATTTGGCATTATAGGTTAGCAAATATATCTAAATGCGATTTTAACTAACGTGTTAGACTTTTATTTTGCTATCTTTTGTTGCAAAGAAAGTACTTGTAGTGATGTCGCAAAACGGGCTCTGGTGGTAAACAATCTTAATCATTCTGTTCAGGACCGCCTTAATAGCCTAAAAAGGGTACCTTTCGACAATGGCAACTTTAATAAGATCCATGGAGCTATTCTGAAGTTATCGATATTTATTTTCAAATATGTTCGAATACTCTCACTACTTTCCCTTAATAACTTTAATAATGATAACAATATAAGTAACAATAATAATATTAGTAATAATAATAATAATAATAATAATAATAATAATAAAAATAAAATTAATAAAAATAATAATAATAATAATAATAATAGCACTTTATTTCCAACAGGTAACATTAACAAATTACTGGAAATATTAAATATAAATGAAATGAAATATTGACAGTTATACCAATCGTATAACTAAAAATAATAAGAAAGAATAAAATATGACTTGTCAGCACGGCTAACCCGACATCAATCGAAATATTGCATGAAGACCATCATAATATAAACCACAGTGTGACGATAGTTTGTTGAAGGTAACACACATATTGAAAATAGGGTTTTGAAAATGGATTTTGGATCTGGGTAACTGAGGTAACAAAGTGATTGATGTCTCCCTTCTAGCCGCGGCACATGAAAACGTAATTGTTCCAGAAGAAACGGACCATCGACTCCGTAATGAACTAACTTGTAGAGAAATAATACTGATTGTAAGTCTCTGCGTAAGCTCAGAAGCAGTAGAGTGGACCTTCTTAGTAGAGGATCATCATCAACTCCCCTCTCAGGATAGAAACCCTCCTCCCTGAACATTAGATATTTCAGTAATTTTCTCTGCACACTGTCAATGGACTGACCGTGGCAGTTATATATTGGTGACCATACCAACCTTTGACCTAACGTAACAGTTAAATAACAATTTAATAGTAGGTGAACTACAAAAACGGGTGCAATTTCTTATTACGAATCCTAAAATTTGCATTGCACTATAAACCACTTTAGTAATGTAAGGTACAAAAGAGAACGTCTGGTCAAATAAAATCCCCATATCCTTTACAGTGGCAAGTATAGTCAGGATGGTAACATCCATACTGTAATTAAAGACTATGGCAGTTTTTTGCGGTGGTAAGAAACCATCTTACACTTGCTGTTGTTAAGATGCAATTTATTTTTAGTATACCACTGACTGACAATATTGATGTTGGCCTGGAAACTCATGCAGTTTAAATGCAGTGATATAGTTTTAGGTCGTCCTGCATAGGTCGCAAATGATCAAAGGTATGAGATCGTCTATCAATATATTGAACAGAAGTGGTCCAAGGTTAGAACTTTGAGGCACACCAGAAGTTGGAAGAAAAGGAACGGATCTAAAGCCCTCAGTCTCAACGAACTGTCGACGGTTCACCAGATAGGACTTCAATACTGAAATCAGCGAATTTGAGAAACCAAATCAGTAAGTGATGATCTATCTGGTCAAACGCTTCGTGGAAATCAGTGTATATAACGTCAACTTGATCTTGCTTGTTCGGGGAGTCACAGACATAAGAAGATAGGGAACATAAATTGGTGATACATGAAGCCATATTGCGTAGAGAGTTTATTTCGTAAGTAATAAAATCTCTAATATTTTCGTAAAATTGCATAAGCATTGCATAATAGTTTTGGCGCAGTACGTATTAACAGTCTCTCATGATAAAACTTGTTATGCCGTCAGGATCGGTAGTCATTCTGTTTTTGAGTGATTTGCTTGCGAATAAAACATCGTGAATGGTAAGATTAGGTGAAGGACACGGTTGAAGATGAACGTGGATCAGGCTCGGACATCGTGAAAATGCTACCAAAATGCTTTGCAAAAACTGCGGCAACCATACTAGCCCATGTTATGACTGATTAGAATAGGATACCGTGGCTCTGATCCGCGAATCTGTCTTCTTACTCTGAATAAATGACCAGAAATTGGTAGCAATATCATGTTTGCTTAACTCAGTACGACGAACAAAATCGAAATAGGCAACGCGCGACTTTAACTTAATTGACTTGCGCAGTGTCGTATATCTGCCCAAATAATACGAAAATTTGTGTTGCTTGAAATTACAGAAAGTTCTCTCCTTCTCAAATATATTTACAGTCATTTCTTTGGTGAACCCCGACGGTGTTTTAGTGGACGTGCAAACGGCAAAAATATTGTTTAGAATGTGGTAAAAAAGTGTTAGAGAACTGTCGAATTCCGAGCACTCCATAGCACTATTCCAGTCGGCATGCAGCCGTGTGTAGAACCTCGTCAATGAGGAGACTGCATTTCTCATTATCACAGCGGAGAAATTGGCGAATTTAGATTAGTTACAGAGTTTACGATTCAATATGGCGCTAAGGTTGAGTAGGGATCTATGTCTGGAATTAATAGGAGCTGAGGGAGTGAAAGAAGGAATATTAAAGTCACCCAACAACAAAGCAGATCAACAACAAGTCCGGCGACGACGTGGATTCAAAAAAGTTCTCAACTTCGAGGCTGGGAGCGGTGGGAGGAATGTAAACTATAAATACATAAAATACAAAATAACGTAAAGAGATCTTACAGCCTAAGAAGAGAGATAGAGATAGAGCGAAAATCATTTGTCGAGAAAAAATTGAATTTATCCAAGCTTTACAGCGGTTTTAGCTATTCCTATAGGAATTAAAATTCAAGAACGCATGCGAGCGGCCGTTCTAGAAAATATTTTTCAGTATTTTCGCTTGGCCGCTATAGATTCGAGATTTTTAACCAAAAGCCTTTAAAATTGCTTTTCGAGGTAGAGCCGAGTGTCTTTCTTTGATACCTCATACATTTGATACCTAATAACAAACTGGATCAAGCGAATCTTTCGCGTAAAACTTAAGCTCAAATTTATTCCATTCTTCCACACCTTGCACTAAGGTAATTTTGTAAAAGTAATCTTCTAGGTTAATGAGATTTTTCCCGAAGATAGAGCAAAAATTATTTTTAACCTAGACTTCACCTACAGATATCCCGCAGGCTGTTTTGCTGCATAAACGTTGTTTACAAGAGTTACGTTCTGATATTATTTTCCGCACCGGCAGAAATTCCCCTTTGAAACGTTATTGCGCACTCGCTTAGCATTTTATCATGGTAATGAGCCATTCTGATTTTTTTGTTCCGCCGGACGAAGTCAAAGCAAAAATTAACCGCGTTGTCGTGACACTGTCATGATAGGACGTTAAAGACCGAAAAGCTTTGTGTAAATGCGGGGTACCCGGAACAGACGACACGTTCAAACCAAAGCGAATATTATTAACTTTGATGCGGTATGTTCATTAGTTAATTGCAGCGAAAGAACTATCAATGCGCAGATCTAATACCAGTAAATAATATCGGAAACGGGTAATTAAAATCGTACGTATTCTGGCATTACATTTTTAATATTTTTTTGGATAACAAAGTAATCAGGGTGAAGAAGTGGAGGAACGAATTATATGACGAACATTTATTAGTTATCTTATAGAGTTATAGAGTGTACAATATCTAAAAAACTCAAAATTGCCATTATTAGAGAAACAATTATGAACGAGGTTTACTAAATGAAATAAGTCTTAAGACCATAGGCGTGGATCGAGAAATTTTGAGGTGTAATAGGGTATAAGACACAGGCAAGAGGCAGGCCAAAAAATTATTATAAAAGAAAAGGAAATATTAACAAAACCAAAACAAAAACTAAAGCTGATGTAAGCAGTAAAGTAAAACAAACTATGTCGGTGATATGACAGATATGAATGCAATTACATTGATTATGGCGGTTACAAACAGTCGCTTGTTTATGATTGAATCAAAATCCACCTTAGACCTCACATATTAAGAAAATATTTCCAGTTTCGCGAAACCAAACCCAAGATTCCAGAAGCGCTTGCCACCATCTGATTAATATGAGGTGATAAAGGTGAAACTCTCATCAGCCACAACTTCAAGGTCCCGAAGTTAAACACTTTATAGTGTAATTTTGTGATCGAGAGTAAAATATAACTTTACAGTTAGATTCCTTCTATTAAAGGGACACCACTGACCAAGCTTATCTATACTGTTTCCAAGGGAATCACAATCAGAGACAGTGTCAATGAGGTTAACTATTTTGAGATCATCAGCGTAGGCAGTACAACATCGAATTAAAAACCGTATATAATGATATGAAATAATCGAGAGTAAAAGTTTCACAGGATAATTAAAAGAAACTGTTTCAAAATATTTGTTTTAATATTTGCTAACTCGTTAAATTTACTAAAAAATAGATCACTCGACGCACACGCAAGGTAATACTTGTTTGTAAATATTAACACAAGAGTATTTCAGGTTTCTTTGGAAATTACCGAAAAAATGATATACCACTATATCGTTTTGGGATACAGAAATTAATTCTGTCACAAACCGATGACATAATTCAAGTTTATGAAACCAGTCCACGAAACAAACTAGATTTTTAGCGCACATCTATTATCTAACTGCACAAACCGAACAAAATCCACCGATAAGGTGCCATTTCGGTGCCGCCGCTGGCTGCAGCCGCTAGCAGCTTCGTCTCCCGTCGCTGCACTGGTTTGTACAGTTTTAAATGCCAATTTGGCTTGCGCAGCGCAACTAAGGCTAAGGTTATAGTAGATGCGGATTCTGACGAATCATTATTCTGACGAACACGCCAAAATTGTTGTTCAGATGTCAGTGGCTATAGTGCATGCTAATAATTCAGTTGTGTCAAAATATTCAAGATGGACGACAATGAAAATGTAGCATATGATTGCCAATTTTTAGAAAGACCGTTATTAAAACTTCTTCTTATGGGCAGAATGGAACAAGTAAATAAAATATTTTCTTCAAGACCAATTAATGGGGAGTACCATACATTATTTAAAGACCTGTTAGAGCAACCAAACAAATTTTTTGGGTACTTCAGGACTTAACAAAAGAAACTTATTTACTCATTAAGTGGGTTGGTTAGTGAAAAATATGAAGCTAAGTCTTCATCCAACTGCTGTTGAGTAGAAGTTTCCCCACTACTTGGCCCAGAAGGGATCCTTAATTGTGAAGAACTAGAATTAGTTTGTTCAGAACATCTCCAAGTTTCTTCGCTACTGACCCTAGAAAACCTTTGGAAGTCTGGAGTCCTAGTATAAGTTTCCATTGCATGTTGATGCATTCTAAACTCTAGTGAAGATAATATGGATTATTATTGCCAAAATTTGAAGGTTGGAATTTCAACTCGTCAACAAACACCTGTTGTAGCTTTGCTCTCACATCTAGTTTTCTGTCTTCGGGAACTTTTCTTAAATAAGGTAATAAGCTCATCAGAAAAAAATAGTCACTATCCTCTTTAGTCACTATCCTTAGCTTTAACAGTTTTAACACGTTTGCTTTGAGATGGGACAAACTCGGGAGACCTCGCCGGTGAATCCGGAGATTCGGTATTTTTCTCCATTCCTCTCTTTTGTTTTGCATTTTGGTCGACAATGACGTTGTCATGAGTTTCAGAAAAATCACCTTCCCCTATTTCATCAGACACAGGATTATCATTTCGAGTCATTCCGGCTCCAAAATGCTGCTTTGTAATTTTCTACCTAGGAACTGATCTGTTAAAAGCAGCATGTTTTTAAAATATGGCCATTTGGACTCCGTAGTTAGTCCTCCTTCTTGTCCAGAACGTGCTTTTGGTAGTTTCTGAAGCTCTTTACGAAAGGGGTCTCGCAAACCACGCCACTTATTTTTTTACAGCTTCGACTGAAACAAAAACAATACTTACAAAATACACACGATACACATTGTATTTTATTTTTTTTAATAACCATTAATTTAATTTTCTTTTGTTTCAGGTATCTTTCTACTGGGATGTCATTTAGATCGTTAAGCTTTTCATACAGAGATTCACATACTGCAATACGACAGATAGCTTATGAAACATGTCTTGCAATATGGAATACTTTTCAAGGGAAACATATGGCGATGCCTACATCCGATTTGTTACAAAACAATGCAAAAGACTACTTCAAACAATTGAATTTTTGTAATTGTGTTGGCAGCATTGACGGCAAACATGTTAGAATAAAATGTCCACAGAACTCAGGATCGATATATTATAACTATAAACAATATTTTTCAATTGTGTTGCGAGGCATAACTGGTGCAAATTACAACTTTGTTACTATTGATGTTGGAGGTTATGGGAAGCAAAGTGATGGAGGAATATTTTCGCTCTCTAATGTCTACAAATGTTTACAGACGAACAAATTCAATATGCCAACTCCTGAATATTTACCCTCAACCGAAATCAAAGCTCCTTTTGTAATATTGCGTACCCACTGAAGACATATTTGCTTAAGCCTAGACAAAATCTTACAAACGAAAAGCGGATTTTTAACTACCACCCGTCTAGGGCTCGACGCTGCATTGAATGCGCATTCGGTATATTAGTTGCTAAGTGGAGATTTTTAAAAACCGAATTGCAAGTCAATCCCGAAAAAGCAGATATCTTAGTTCAAACTGCATGGCTACTGCACAACATATTAATTAACATTGAAGGAGTTCTAACACAACCAGAACAAAATATAAACAACCATGAAATATCTGTTTCAAGACGCTACAAACATTATGGAGCAGCGGCCAGTGAAATACGAGACGTTTTCAAGAATTATTTTTGCAGCCTCTACGGCGAAGTACAATTCCAATATAATATTTTTACTTAAGAACCGTCATATAATATTGAAAGGAATGCAATGTATACAAAAAATACATTAGATATGTAATTTCAATAAAAAAAAATTAGGTGGGAATGTACTTACCATTATTTTCCATTTCTTTAGCGATTTTTTCCCATTTCTGGCGAGAAGTATCGCTATTATGATAGTTTTTTGCTTAATATCTCATAAAGATTTATTTTCAAAAACTAAACTGATTAGTTTTTCCACATCCATTGTCAAAGGAACCAATTTATAAACACACAATAAACACAAATCGCAACGGTTCAGATCAAATTATCAAAATTGTTTGAACGTTCAGCTTATTCTGACGAATTTGTACGTAATCTGACGAGCATGCAGTATAACCAGAATAGCCTTTATATGTTTTGATTTTTTCGTGCGAGTTCTGACGTGTTCGTCAGAACAATAGTTCGTCAGAATACGCATCCACTATAACCTTAGCCCCAAGGGGGCGGCAGCCCGCGCTGCAGCGGCTGCTGTTCGACTCCTCGCGAAGCAGTCGAGCGGCTGCCATCGTAGTGACTAGGGCAAAAACCGGCGCCATTCACGTCAAATGACGATGTAATTTTAATTAACGAAATACAAAAATATCCCGTAATATACGATTATAAAGACAAAAATTTTGTTAATAATGACAATTGTTGGAAAAAGGTCGCTAGAGAATTAAAAAAAGAAGGTTAAACTAAAATCCGGTAAAAACTGGCTGTCTGCCAGAAAACTGGTGGGAACGCTCCGAATTGTCTGCAAACTATCAGCATCTTTTATATGCGATCGGAATTTCACTAGAGCTTATTTACCAGCGATTATTTCACAAGAGATATTTAAACACCGAATATCTTTTTCGGTTCCTACGTCATGCCTATATTTTTTTATATTTGGGTTTCTAATGTTTGTTTTATTCGAGAAATAATCTAGCTATAATAAAACAAGATTTGAAATAAGTACCTACATATACATTATAAATTATTTTTCATTTATGGTCTATTTTTCTTTGGAAATCATTTTCTCTTGCCAGTCGACAATTTCCTCTCGGACGAAAAAGTTCATAAACTCGTCTCTGATGCGAACTCCATCGGAATCTTGAAAACCTCCAGCTCTTCTAAAATTTTGCCTCGTTTGTGTATTATGTGCATTTGGGTCATATTCGTAATACGGAGAAAAAATATTTTTTCCAAGAATGCAATCTCTTAATAAATTGTGCAAACAACAAGCGGCAAAAATTAAATAATCTCAAACTTCTAGTTTTACATTTATATGTGTATAAAACCCTCTAAAAACCTGACAAAGTAAACCAAACGCATTTTCGGCGACTCTTCCGGCACGGGTCAGCCAATAACTAAAAATCGCTGTGGATTTTTCAAAATTTGTTCAAGTTTTTTACGTTTTTTTTTAGTTTTTAAGGAAAGGTTTCATGACCAATAATTACGTGTGGTAAAACTCTGTTTGATTTTTTCAATTTTTGTTCAGATGGAAAAAAGTCTTCATTAACCTGGCCCAAAAACTCTGACATGTTTGCCGTCTCTAGCTGCCACGTAGTTAGGAAAATTTTAGCGACTAACCAAAATTCTTCAGCATTCTTATTAAAACTTCTTTGGTTGGGGGCGTCAAATAAATAGGTATTAAATTCTTGCGTATCGCAGCCAGTGTTTTCTTAATAATTATCCTCATATAGATAGGTGAAATTCTGAAGGCAAATCCAAGAGATTGGAAAGTTCCACCAGTTGCCATAAACCTACAATCAATTAAAATATATGTATATTATCATACATTTACAAAAATAATTGATTTACTGAACAAATTATCTATTTTTTGCATGATTTCCGCTGGTAATCGAATATATTGTGGTTTTTAGAATACACTGCTAATTTTTTCTTTGCCTACAGTTCATCTTCCTCTTCTTCTAATAAAATTAATGTTATCAAATCGTCGTAATCCATACTTTTTAATAAAGCCCGCGAAATTTAAAATGGCAAAAATGCTACAGTCCTCATCCAACGGCTGCCTAGAACTGCCTTCAGCGAAAACATCTTTTCATCGCGGCTACAGCTGCCGCGGACAGCGTCCCTAGTCGCGCAGCTCGACCAGCACCACCGAAATCGCACCTATATACGGATTCCGCTGCCCAACTGTAGCGGGGGACCTGGACCTGGATAGTCGCGCGCGTTGTATCCAGTGAGTCAACTTATACAGTGTTTTGTAAACTTTGATATGGACTGAAACTAAACGCATTTTCGTAATCACTTCTTGAATTATGTAAATTGATTTTAATTATATTGGTTTTATGGAAATAGCTCTATTTATGATTAAACGACGGGGACGATACGAGCATTGCTTGATCAAATAATGAGTCATGCAACAAATTATCGATGTATCTATTTTTATCGCAATTAATACCCATTGGCAAGATAAAAAAAAGCGAATATTGCAGTATCGCCGTTACACTTCGTAAATCCGCCAGAATTTAAAATTTTGCGATTAGCGAACTCTTCCAACCGAAAATTGCGACTTATCTCATCCACCATAAAATAGTAGAATTAACAAAAAACAAAATTTCTACCCTGTTTTGTCATTAAACAGAAAGGAAGTATATATTAGCTCCGCATATGAAAAATAATAAAGAAATGAAAGATAATAAAGATAATTCGTGTTTATTTACAATTATCGCTGTAAACAATTAAAAAGTTGAGGCGTCTGTATTTGCATTAATTTCTTGTTTTAAATTTGGCAGCCAGTACGCAAACGAAAAGCTACTGAATAGAAACATTTTTTTACTTACTGCATTTAACTACGAGAGGAATTATTCGCCGACTGGCAATCAGCAGAAAATCACAACCCTCGTCGCCGATTATTAAATGTTTTTTTGGTCCAGACTGTACTGGTAAATATCCCGATTTCCAGATTTTCCCCAGGCCATCACAAAAAAAATCTTTAAATGAAATATGTAAATTATCTGCATATATAGTCCGTTCAAAATAGAAGTTTCAAATACCAAACCTCGATTTTGGTGGCGACCTTGAAGTACAGCATGTTTCACATATAAATTGTAAATTATAAAATGGCCTACAAAAATGACTTTTATACTTTTTTTCTTAGAAAGCGTCATTCCTAAGATACTGAGAAAAGCAAACCTGCATACATGTGTTCGCTTATATTTACGAAATATGTAATTCTGAGGATCTACTCTCAAAAAAAATGTAGTCCTTAGTCAGTGCCTGTAGACTCTATTGTCTATGTGGCAACACACATAAACCTGCCCTTTTTAATTTAAATGAAATACGAATTTATTCGGAGTATCTACAATATTACAATATGGTAGATAATTACAAACCGATCTAGAGTGCGGGAAGCGTCACTTTACCACATCAGTTTCTTTTCCCACGGATCCGAGCCACTTAGTATATTTCCGGGATTTTACCGCACGGGATTGGGAGCCATCAGATGTTTTCGGAGATATTTCCCACGCCTTGAATTTGGATGTTTGACAATTCTGACGGTCATGTCAATGAATGTATTCGTATTGTTTTGCGCAAGTGTGCCCAAAAACTAACGGTCGTAGAAAAAGTATAGTATGCAACACGTTCGGTAAACTTTTTAAGTGTCAGATAAATTCGTGAGTCAAATTCCGTTTACCGCACTTGTTATATAATATACTATTAAAACCGATATTTGCAATTATTTATTTGAAGCCGGGATGAGTTTTTTGATTGTCTGAGAAGCGAGAGTCTAACAAATTCGAAGAAGACCTGACTGACTCTTGAAGAAGAATATAGATAAATAGAACAGATATCAGAACTACAGTTAAAATCAATGACCTATATCAATATCAATAATAATCACGAAGTATATACAGGATTTTGCAATAGAACTTCGCCATAACAGATCGCGTGGAGTAGGTCTGGGAAATGAAGTTAAAAATCCTGCTGTGCAGAACGTCACAGGTGATGTGGAAATGGGTATATATGATGCAAAATGTAACATCTACAACTTTTAGAATCTTATGAGAAAAGAAAGATCATTTTTAATGAAAATTTTATTTTGTATTTATTTTTGTTTTTCAAATAAACGCATCAGTTGCTAAATAAGCTGCATGATCACTTTATTTTCTGTACTAATCCAAAAAATTTTGCAATGTAATCCAAATATGTGTTAAATTAAAGCATTAATTTCAAGATTTAAGTTTCAATTTATGGAGTTCGTCCTCAAAAACACTTTCAGTGCCGCGCTGCGCGGAAGAATAAATTTAACTATATATACGTGACGTTGGCGCCCCAGAAGATATTTTTCTCTCTCGCGCGCCCGATCACTGGAATCTGAATAATTTTATATTTCCTCGGTTGGGACCCACGCTACGAAACTACGAAA